CGCGGCGGCCATGTTGAAACTGGGAAACCAAGTAAACAGTCTCTAAGGACCTTTCCCTTCAAAGCGATACATCGATAACTCAATGTCATACTCCTAATGTATCAACAGCATAGAGCTCTGGACAGTATACTGTGGCAACGCAGTTACTCAATCCTTAACCTGACGTTGAGCGTCTGCGGGCTGAATGACCTCTGTGCCCAAAACAAAGATGGCTGCCTCCACTCGTGTACTTTGCACTCTTGACAGCTCCACTCTAAGCCTATTAGCGACTGCCACGTCATGACAAGGGGGCGGAGTCTGTTGTTTGCCAAGGTAAGTTGAAGTTCTTTTTCATGTTGCTATAAATACTGTTGGGATTATAGTATTTATTATTATTATAAAGGAAACATGAACAACGTGTCACATATGTAACTGCACGATCGGCTTATTGTGGCATTCAGTTTATTGTAGTCACTGTATTAGAGGGGTTTATAAAGTTTGCTATGGCAGTTCAGAGAAACCTGCTGCATTTAATAGAGATTTATTACATTTAATAGAGATTTATTACATTTAATAGAGATTTATTACATTTAATAGAGATTTATTAGTAATTTGCTAAAGAAAGGCTAGATTAACTAAACTACGAACTGTAGCGAATTTAATTTCAAATGGCAGAATTTAGGTAAATACAACCAAGTTTTGACTATAAGATGTTTATTTGACTATAGGAGTTACCTAGCCATTCTTATTTATCAGCTATTCACTGAGTGAGAATTTAAAGTAAAAGGGTTACTCAAACTACCCATGAGCACTTCAGTGATTTGAGGTCATGGTGGTAGGAATGTGTATGTGCTTGAAACACTGCAGGTATAAAGATATTGGAACATGTGTGCCCAGTGGCGGATCCAGAGCCTGATCTCGGGAGGGGCACTTGTAGATTATTTAAAGAAATAATCCAGACACAATAACTACTACAGCTCAGTGTAGTGGTTATGGTGTCAATAGTGCCGGGACCCCCTCCTAGAGTAAGTAGTCAACCCGTTTAAGAACAGTTTGACAACTTACCTGAGGTCTGCTGGGAAATGGGGCGGTAGTAGGGCATAGGAGCAGTGGTGTGTGTGAGTGGTGCAATGTGTAAGGGGTGCAGTGTGTGTGAGGGGGACAGTGTGTGAGCAGTGTGTGTGTGTGAGGGGGACAGTGTGTGAGCAGTGTGTGTGTGTGTGTGTGTGTGTGTGTGAAGGTTGTAGTGTGTGAGTGGGGGGGCAGTGTATGTCAGGGATGCAGTGTATGTGTGGGACAGTATGTGTGTGTAACAGTTGCAGTGTGTGTGTGAATGTGGGCAAAGTGTGTGTATGGGGCGGCAGTGTATGGGGGCAGTGTGTGTGTATGGGGGCAGTGTGTGTGTATGGGGGGCAGTATGTGTGTATGAGGGCAGTATGTGTGTATGAGGGCAGTATGTGTGCATGGGGAGGCAGTATGTGTGCATGGAGGGCAGTATGTGTGCATAGGGGGCAGTATGTATACATGGGGGAGCGAGAGCCCATGTGTGTATAGAGGGGGGCAGTATGTGTGTATGGGGGGAGCAGTATATGTGTGTATAGGGGCAGTATGTTTTGTATAGAGGCAGTATGTTTGTAGGGGGCAGTATGTGTGTATGGGGGAAGCATGGGGGCAGTATTATGTGTATGGGGGCAGTATGTAGGGCAACATGTGTGTGTATGGGGGCAGTATGTGTGTGTGTATGGGGGTAGTATGTGTGTATAGAGGCAGTATATGTATGGGGGCAGTATGTGTATGGGGAGCAGTATGTGTGTGTGTATGGGGGCAGCATGTGGGGGCAGCCATATGTGTATGGGAGGGCAGTATGTGTGTGTGTATGGGGGCAGCATGTGTATGGGGGGCAGCATGTGTGTATGGGGGGGGCAGTATGTGTGTATAGGGGGGCAGTATGTGTGTGTATGGGGGGCAACATGGGGGCAGTATGTGTGTGTATGGGGGGCAACATGTGTGTATGGGGCAGCATGGGGGGCAGCATGTGTGTATGTATGGGGGGCAGCATGGGGGCAGTATGTAAGTATAGGGGGGCAGCATAGGGGGCAGTATGTGTATGGGGGCAGTATGTGTGTGTATGGGGGGGGCAGCATGTGTGTGTATAGGGGGCAGCATGGGGGTAGTATGTGTATGGGGGGGTAGTATGTGTATGTAGGGGGGCAGCATGGGGGGTAGTATGTGTGTATGGGGGGTATTGAAGTATGTGTGTATGGGGGTGAGTATGTGTGTATGGGGGGGCAGCATGGGGGGCAATATGTGTGTATGGGGGGGCAGTATGTGTGTATGGGGGGGCAGCATGGGGGGCAATATGTGTGTATGGGGGGGCAGTATGTGTGTATGGGGGGAGGCAGTATGGGGGCTATGTGTGTGTGTGATCAGGGTAGGGTGGCTTTTTTTTTTATAGTATAATATTTTTTTATTTAATTAAAATAAATATTATTCTATGTCCCCCCTCCCTTCTTACCTTTACTGGGAGGAGGGGGGACATATTTCGATCCCTGGTGGTCCCAGTGGGGATTCATTGGTGGTCAGGTGGTCAGAGTGAACTCTAGCCCGCGCTCCCGGGCTAGAGTTCACTCTCGCGAGATTTGGAGCGTTGCTGTGGTAACCGCGGCAACGCTGCAAATCTCGCGAGAGGAGGACCCGGAGGAGCTGCAGACCGAGCTCCGGGTCCTCCCTCTCCCTCCCCTGCCGGCTGCCAGCACAGTGTCTGCGGACCGGGGAGGGAGAGCTCTGATCTCCCCCCCGGTCCGCAGGCACATTGCAGGGGAGGGAGACCGGCGGATTTCTCGGGGGGGGCAATTGCCCCGTTGCCCCCCCCCTGGATCCGCCAGTGTGTGTGCCAGGGGCTAGTTGCACCCCCACCACGTGTGACTTCTGTTCCGGGCTGCCTAATGTCAATTCTGTGCATATTTTACATTTGTCACCAGACTCCACTGCATGCACAGTGCTGCATTTAGCTTTCCAGGGGGCAACAAAAAACATGCCTCCAAACGCACCGGTAGATGCCTTGTTAGAGCCTTTTCATTGGGGGGCCAAGAGCTGGCTGCCCGGCTGCCCACCTTAGAACCCCCCTGAGACGGGCTGCCATGTCTATTGAAACCAGGCGGCGATGTGGCGCTCTGTAATGACGCTGAGAAACAGAACATGACATCACTCTGGCTCCCGGCATTACTATGCAGTGCACAAGGATTTTTAGGGCAGCACAAATCCAAACTACACCGCTATGCATGCTGCCGACAGACCTGCTTAGCTACTGCCTGCAAGGGGAAGCGCATTCTCCACTCCCTCCCTTCAATTATTAAGCCTTAACCATCTCCCCACATTTCATTTGCACTTTTTTTTATTATATCCTTCCCCTGTTCACCCCCACTTCCTCCCTTTGCTGGTCCAGAGCACGTGATGCCCTGACATCAAATGGGAGCTTCACCCGGTGCTGGATTGCAGGTACGTTATAAAATCTTTACAGCATTTCACCAGGGGAAAGCAGTAGTTTTTGGGGTTAAATCTTTCGAGAATTGTTTAACCCTGTAAGGTAAGAGAGCACCCAAGGGCCTCCTGGCACCATAACAACTTCATTTAGATGAAGTTGCTATGGTGACTGGAATGTTCCTTGGAGATCCTGTATGATCGTAGCCCTCCAATCTTAAAACAAGGTGTCCTTAAGTATATATGAATGGCCATTTCTACTCCACATCCCATTTTTTTCCCAGTAGTTATTGGGTTAAATGTTTTTATATAAGCATGATGCTCATAGTTGCTTTATTTAGCATATTTTAATATTTCAATAGTCATCTTATGCTCCATGACAGCAGTAGTTTTACAGGATTTAAAGCCATACATACTTCATTGCTACAGAGCTATGTTGAGCGACTTATCAGAACGTTTTCTCTTTCCGTTTAAGTTTATATAGATTCGATGCCCTGCCTATTGTGTAGACCCGGCCAGCATACTGGTTATTTTCAAGCCAGATGGCTATACGATGCCCAGATATTTAGTGTCATGACAGGGACCCTACATATATACCTATACATTAAAAAAACATTGTTCCAGGTCTTGTGTAGAATGCTGTACTGCCAACTGTATACCTACCATTGTTTACCATGTTATATTGCACTACAGCTCTGGGACAATTGTTCTAATTTATAATCTGTCCTGGAATAAGATATAAAATGTAAAAAAAATAGATAAAAGTGCGACAAAATGCAATCTGCAAAATGTAAATATTTAATGTTTTAATCCAAATTCAAATAATAACCTGTTGAGGTGTCTGGCACATTGTCAAAATTTCTAGGAATGATATAAGTGGGATGTGTAGTGTTGGACTCTGGAGAATGGTTTAATTCTCCCAAACTTTGTCAAGTTTATACAAGTAAAAATATTTAATGCATTATAAACATATATTATATACATTATGTCCATAAAATGGGTGATAACCCAAACTGATATCATCTGTTTCCATTGTTACATTTGGATATTTAAAAGCATGGAACAAGTATCTAAAAGTAAGGACACAGGATACACTGTTGCAGGTAAATGTTTTACAAACATGTTATTTGTTATGACAGCGCAGTATAATACAAATAATAAAATATACAGTTGTGCTCAAAAGTTTGCATACCCTGGCAGAAATTGTGAAATTTTGGCATTAGTTTTGAAAATATGACTGATCATGCAAAAAACATGTCTTTTATTTAAGGCTAGTGATCATATGAAGCCATTTATTATCGCATAGTTGTCTGGCTCCTTTTTAAATCATAATGATAACATAAATCACCCAAATTGCCCTGATCAAAAGTTTACATACCATTGATTGTTTGGCCTTGTTACAAGCACATAAGGTAACACACACAGGTTAGAATGGCAATTAAATGTTAATTTTCCACACCTGTGGCTTTTTAAATTGCAATTAGTGTCTGTGTATAAATAGTTAATGCGTTTGTTAGCTTTCACGTAGATGCACTGAGCAGGCTAAATACTAAGCCATGGGGAGCATAAAAAAAAAAAAAACCTGTGTAACGACCTGCGTAACAAGGTAATGGAACTTTATAAAGATGGAAAAGGATATAAAAAGATATCCAAAGCTTTGAAAATGGCAGTCAGTACTGTTCTATCACTTATTAAGAAGTGAAAAATTCCAAGATCTCTTGATACCAAGCCAAGGTCAGGTAGAAGAAGAAAGATTTTAGCCACAAGTGCCAGAATAATTTTTCGGGATACAAAGAAAAACCCACAGGTAACGTCAGGAGAAATGCAGACTGTTCTAGAAAAAGACGGTGTGGTTGTTTCAAGGAGCACAATACGATGATACATGAACAAAAATGAGCTGCATGGTTGAGTTGCCAGAAAGTAGCCTTTACTGCACCAATTTATGTTTGGAGAGGGGTCAACAAGGCCTGTAGTGAAAATAATACCATCCCCACTGTGAACAATGATGGTGGCTCGCTGTTGTTTTGTTGGTGTGTGAGCTCTAAAGGCTAGACAAATTCAGCATGTTATCAGAAAATACTGACAGACAATTTGCATTCTTCTGCACGGATGCTGCACATGGGACACTCCTGGACTTTCCTGCATGACAGCAGAAAAAGGTGAGGGTTCTGGAGTGGCCATCACAGTCTCTTGACCTTAATATCATTGAGCCACTCTAAGTAGATCTCAAACGTGTGGTTCATGTAAGACGACCAAAGACTTTGCATGACCTGGAGGCCTTTTGCCAAGACGAATGGGCGTCTATGACACGTGCAAGAATTAGGGGCCTCTAAACAACTTGTCAGGATATGCTGGAACCTGAACACGCAGACAGAATCACCAAAAGCTAATCCGTATACCGGTCCTTAGTTAATGAACAAGCGAAATCAGTAACAAGCCGAGGTCAAAAGGAGTAAAGAAGACAGGAATATCATATAAACAAGCCGATGTCAAAGGAGTACAGAAGACAGGATAAATGTAAGACAATAGTCAGAATATATCACCAGAAAATCACAAAAGGAACACGCTATTGGGCTACCAAAAACCACAACAGGGCAACAAGGAATGGGAGAGGTAAGTATATAGGCATCACTTAATTTTGATTGGTCCAATTCCAATTGGAATTGACCACTATTCGAGGAAGGTACTTTACCTTCCTAATCTGACCTCTGATGTCATTTATGTGCGCCATGTGCAGCGTCTGCTGGAATGCCAGAGGGGATCGCGGCACCCAGAGCTGAACCGACCGGTAAGCCAGCAAAATACCTGACACAACTATTACAAAGGATTGCACACTTTCATTGATGCTAAAGGGGGCAATACACAAGATTAAAGCGGCACTGTCATGGCCAAATCCAGTTTGTTTTTTACCCCCTCCTGATTCCACTAGATCTAACCCCCTAGTCACCCCCAAATGCGCCCAAGCCCACCATATTACCTATTTTTTAAACTTTATTTTATTCCCTGACCTAGATCCTGGGTGCAGCCATCTTTGTGTGGGTAGTTGAAGTCCCTTTTGGACTCGTCATCTGCCCACACTAGATAGCGCTGTGAAATTCCTGCATATGCCAAGTTAATCACTTCGTCTTCGTTAATCATATTGTCTATTTATTTATTCGCCAGAAAGACGAAGGAATAAATAGAAATTTCAGCCAAACAAACACGGAATATCGGTGTTCGTTTGTTCGTTCGGTTTATTACAAGGAGGGAGCTACCGGCACGCAGCTCCCTCCTTGTAAAATGTAAAAATAAGAGCGTCAGGGAGCAGTGCACTCCTCCACTTCCTAAGCCCCCCCATGTCCTCCCTCTCTCTATGGGGGTCAATATGACCCGCATATTAGCATAGGGGAGATTAAAATCTCCCGAATGCCCCTACTCGCTATGCTGCGAGTAGGGGCATGTATACTAAACAGTGAACAGCCTGTGGCTGCTCACTGTTGTAAAAAAACACATAGTGTCCCAAATGCAAATAAACAGTTGACAGGTCTCTACATTTACCTGTCACAGCACTCGGATTGGTTGGCTTGGAATCCAACCAATCATAGCGCTCTGAGTCATTTCACACAGCGTGGGAAAGTTCTTTGGAATTTTTCCATGCTGTGTAATTTGACTCATAACCGTCTGATTGGTTGCTTTCATTTACTTAATATTAGCTCTTGGTAGATAGCTCCTTAATTCCCACGGTATCAGGGAACTATCTACTAAGCGGCTGCAAGATGCAGCTGCAGCACAGATTGGATCGAAATTTAATTCAGCCGACCTAAAAATACCGAATGTCGTCCTAACATGAATGAACAAACTGTTCTCATTCTGTTAGGACGAAATTCTGTAGTTTCGCCGGCGTCATGTCTAACTGACAGGACGTTCAGGAAGACATCGCAAGATCATGGAGAAAAGGTGAGAATTGTGGGAGATTGCTCTGACCACGGGAAATGGAGCATACTTTGCTCCTCCGCTGGTCAGGCGTAGGAAAAATACATTGTCTTATGTTTTCAAGAAAACTAGATCAGATAAGAAGAAACAGAGAACAGATCCTGAGGGAGGGAGAGAAGAGGAAGCGATTAAAGAAAGGTAAGTTCGGCCGTTTTAAGAACTAAGGGTATGCAGACTTTTGAACAGGGGTCATTTCATTTTTTTCCTTTGTTGCCATGTTTTGTTTTATAATTTGGCCATTCTGTTATAATCTACAGTTGAATATGAATCCCATAAGAAATAAAAGAAATGTGCTTTGCCTGCTCACTCATGTTTTCTTTAAAAATGGTACATATAGTACCAATTCTCAAAGGGTATGCAGACTTTTGAGCACAACTGTATAACCAATGCTAGTGCAATGATTAAATGCACATGATCCAGAAATAAATCTATAACATAAGACATCATAAGGAGGGATCTTTCTATTTTAGTATGTTTTAAATCAAAAAATCTTGCAACCCCTGGTGCATAGCTAAATTGCCTTATTGTAGTGGTAAACCTGTGAGGAATTGCCCTGCACATAACTGGAGGAATCTACGAGCTTTTCATCTCCCATCTGAAATTATTTGTCGGTGACCCATATGCCCCTACCTGCCACAGTAGCACATAGGGTCTAATGCCATGTAATGAGTGATGGGAGTAAGAGAATCCTTTCTCAGGTGGTCATTGTATTACTCCCCCAGCAGGCGGTGCTTATGCTTGCTAGGGGTGCATGGGTACGCACTGACACCATTGTGCTGACAGTGAAGCCATAATTTCAGCGTCAGTATGACGGATGGGTCTGCTTGGGGACATGTCCCCATGCTTGGTTAATCACAGCAGGTGGGAGGCAGCAATGCAGGCTCCATGTTACTGAAACATCCACAGACCTTGAGAATGGAGGCACTGGAGAGGAGCTGCAGGTAAGTAAAGATCTAACAGCTTACAAAGCATAACTATATAGAATTTATCCTTATGATAAATCATATATTTATTGTCTGGGGAGCTGTAACTGTTAGAGTAAACCTGTTATGACACTAGTATGTAACAGTACTGGGTAAGTAGTTCTCTGATCTACTGGTCAGGAAGATCATTAGATCTCCATGCTGTCTGCATCCTTCCCAAATCATAATATAATGGTGGATCTATCTTTCTTCCTCTGTGTTTCTTTGTTGTTGTTGTTTTTTACATAGGTGGCATAATGTTGATCAACAGAGTTCTAGTTTCATCGTACTACAGCCCGACAAAGGCTCCTGTGATATGGAGACATATATTGTTTCATCGGCAGAGTTCAATAAGATGGAGCCATGCTGTAACCAGTGCATATAAAGCAGTTATTTTTGATATGGGCGGAGTCCTTCTCCCTTCACCTTTTAAAATGTCAGAAGGTAAGTTTTGATGTTAATCTTAATCACCCACCTATATAATTATTTTCATATACCATAGTAAAGGACACGATTAATTTAGAGTCAAATTTTAATGTCCTTTCTTTGTTCCCAGACACACTCCGCATTATAAAAAAAAAAAAAAAAAACCTCATACTTCATCTCTACCTCTATTAGGCTTATTCACTAAGGAATAACAAGGGAAACTGTTGAAAGTAAATTTCAACTTTAAGGCCACAGTAACCGAACTGGATGCATAGTTGACTTATAGAATGTTTCTGATTTGGCTATTTTTACCTTCAATTTGAAATTCTCTTTAAAGGGACAATATAGTCACCAGTCCAACTACAGCTTATTGAATTTGTTCTAGTGAGTAGAATCATTACCTCCAGGCTTTTTGCTGTAACACTGTCTTTTCAGAGAAAATGCAGTGTTAACATTACAGCCTAGTGATAACTTCACTGGCCACTCCTCAGATGGCTGTTAGAGATCCTTCCTGGGTCGTGGCTGCCTAAAATGCATCCAAACATTCAGTATCTCCTCCCTCTGCATGCAGACACTGAACTTCCCTTATAGAGATTCATTGATTCAATTAATCTCTATGAGGAGATGCTGATTGGCCAGGGCTGTGTTTGAATTGTGCTGGCTCTGCCCCTGATCTGCCTCCTTTTCAGTCTCAACCAATGCTATGGAGAAGCATTGTGGTTGGATAAGGCCACCACTTCTGATGATGTCAGCAGACAGCTTGTTTTTCTGAGGCAAACAGCATGCAGAGGTACAGCTTTAATACAAGTAAGATTTTGCTATATTTATGGAGGCATGAGGGGCCCAGGGGTGCTAGATGGTGGTTTTAACACTATAGGGTCAGGAATACATGTTTGTGTTCCTGACCCTATAGTGTTCCGTTAAGAAAAAAGGAAACAAAATCTTAAACTGCAGACCACTACTGTGTGTATTATATCATTCTCTGGAATGACACCTTAAAGCGGCACTGTCATGCCGAATCCCGTTTTTTTTTTTAACCCGCCTCCACTACATCCAATTGACCCCCTAGTTATCCCCAAATGCCTCTAAGTGCCCCATATTACCTATTTATTATTCTTTATTTTCTGCCCCGATCTTTATTCAGTGTGCCGCCATCTTTGTGTGGGTAGAGGAAGTCCCTGCGGGACACGTCATCTGCCCACACTAGATAGGCTGTGAAATTCCCGCACATGCCCAGTGAAACACCTGGACATGCAAACGGGAATTTCATCTATTCATTCATTCGTCAGAAAGACGAATGAGTGAATAGAAATATCAGCCGAACAAACTAACACTGTGTATCAGTGTTCGTTTGTTCGTTCACTTTATTCCAAGGAGGGAGCTACCGGCACGCAGCTCCCTCCTTGTGATATGTAACTATAGAAGCGGCAGGGAGCAGTGCTCCCCGCCACTTCCTAAGCCCCCCAGGTCCCCCCTCACTCTATGGGGGCAATATGACCCCCATAATAGCATAAAGGAGAATAAAATCTCCCGAATGCCCCTACTCGCTATACCGCGAGTAGGGACATGTCTACTAAACAGTGGAAATCCATCCAATCACAGTGCTCTGTGATATTTAACACAGCGTGGGAAAGTTCTTTGGAATTTTCCCACGCTGTGTAAAATGACAAAGAGCACTCTGATTGGCTTAAAACCACCAATCAGAGTGTTCTGAGCCTAATTGCAGGGCGGGGCAGGGCTTTATAAGCCTTCCCCTGCCCTGCAGAGCTCAGTCTGCACGGAGCCCTCCATGGGTGAAGAAGGATTATTTTTTTTGCGCTCTGGTTTTTTCTTTTTCGGCGTTTTTTTTTTTTTTTTTGCGCACAGGTTTTTTCTTTTATTTTAAGTTCAACGGTTATGATGGTATTTTTTGGGGGGCTGAAAAATGAAGATTTTAGAAAAAAGAAGATGTCGAATGGTGTTTTATTTTTTCTTTACAGGTTAGTAATTTTATTCCCTCCTCACTATTTTTTACGGTGAGGGGGGTAGGTAGGGGCCTTTTTATTTGGTGGGGGGGGTGGGTGACTAGGGGCTTGGGGACCCCTAGTCACCTTTAATGGGGGGAGGGAATTTGACTTAGGGCCCCCACCCGCCGCCCAGGGGTGGGGGCCGGGGGGGGAGGACAGTAGGTCCCCCTCCCCCTCATTATCATTATGGCCCCCACCCACCACCCAGGGGTGGGGCCTGGGGGGAGGACAGTAGGTCCCCCCCCTCATTATCATTATGGCCCCCACCCGCCGCCCTTCCAATTGGCTGACCAATTGACTGACCCACAAGGGAGATTCATATTTGTCAAAGGCACCATAGGAAAACAAACTTACACCCTGACAAGTATATATATAGTCCCAACAATAGGCAGGGATACTTTCGTAAACAGACGCTCTCCAAATTGGACACGTCCGAAACAGCCATCATTATCTGACTTTAATGTTCATTTGGACACTTCCAGACACCAGACACATCCTAGGTACCTACAAAAACAACTATGTATACAAATGTTATATTCTAATCACCTAATGGACTGCTGGAGACTGACTAACCCTACAACTAATGAGTACACATTTTTTTCTTATGTCCGGGACACATACACCAGACTGGACTCCATTTTCACTCATCACAGACACTTACATCTCGTCCGTAAGGCACACATAGGCCCGATCACCTGGTCTTCCCCACTATAAATTCCAGGACAACAATCCGGTGTCAGACACCTCACCTCTAAACAGCTGGGAGGCCCATAAATGCGTAATCAGAAGAACACTTATTCAATTAGGCACCAGAATGAAAAAAAGACAGAGACTCAAAAATTGCTGCCCTACTCACAATTATCCAAGACCTAGAGACACGACACAAATGGACAAAAATCTGACTACGCATTCTCTCGCTTAGACTTAGGAGGGAAGAATTATCTCTCCTCTTGAATCACAAAGCTAAATGAGCTACCGTATATTACTAACTAAACACTCGTTTTATGCCCATGGCAATAGAAGCGGCAAGCTACTGGCTCGTGCACTAAAGTTCGATAACTCGTGTATCTCAAAAATTAAGGACACTCAGGGCACAACACATTCCCTAACGCAAGACATTGCTGAAACCTTTCGCCAATATTATGCCTCTCTGTATAACCTACCTAACCCCACGACATCCCAACCTGACAGAACACAGCATATCCGAAAACATGTCAAAAACAAGATACCTAGCTCGGCACAGGCCGCACTGGCTGCGCCATTCACACATGACGAATTATCACAAGCCATTAAACTATTCTTACCGCAATTAGGACCGCCTTTACTACAAGCGTTGTACAACTCTATAACTAAAGACAACCCATTTAGTCCCACAGCCTTAGAAGCCACTATAATGTTGATTCCAAAACCTGACAAGGATCATACTGTCTGTGGCAGTTACAGACCGATATCATTGATTAACAACGATGTAAAAATCTTTGCTTGCATGCTGGCCAACAGGTGGAAGCCCCTTTTGGGATTGGTACACCCAGATCAGACAGGCTTCACACCTAGCAGAGAAGCCAAAGACAACACCATTAAAATCCTAAATATAATCCATAAAGCAACCACTACACACACACCCACTTTATTACTGAGTATTGACGCAGAAAAAGCCTTTGCTAGAGTGGACTGGTCCCTTCTATTTGAAGGTATGAAGGAGATGGGCTTCGGGGACAGATGGCAGACTTGGGTTCATAAAATCTATACACACTCACAGGCCAGAGTACAAATCAGTGGCACGAAATCTGGCCCCCTGCACATCCAAAACAGGACTAGACAGGGCTGCCCACTTTCCCCCCTATTATTTATACTATCTCTCGAACCATTCTTGAACGCAATCTGCGACAATGCAGCCATTACCGGTGTACAAGGTCACACATTGCAATACAAAGTCTCAGCCTACGCTGATGCTTTATTGTTCACCATCACTAAACCGAACATATCACTCCCGTCACTGATGTCTGAGTTGACAATGTACTCTGACATCTCCAACTTCAAAGTAAATTACGATAAAAATGAACTCCTCCCACTCACATCACCGCCTCACGTCATACACAACCTTAGGGATCATTTCCCTTTCAAGATCACCACCACACACCTTAAATATCTTGGGGTATGCCCGCCATGCTGACTGGTCGCATGAGGGAGAGGCTCTTGCGAAACCTGGCCTTTTCGACAGCTAATCTAGGCTTACAGCCCTTATCTGAGTCAGAGGGACGTGGGACTGTGCCGGAGCTGAAGTGGGCACAACAGCGGGCTCTGAGACCAGGAGTTTTGGGGGCCCCATGGGCCACACAAGATTTTGGAGCTTGCGGCCTTCATGTGAGAAGGGCGGAATGGACGGTCGCCACCCTGCCTAACTGCTTGCTGCACCGCTACACAACGGCTCTGTGATGCACCTCACAGGCCCCTACCCCCCCTTTAGGCCGGAGGGGTTATCCGAATTTAAAATGGCCACCGCACTGCCTCTCCGCACACGGCCAACTGAGAAATACCTCACCACCTCGAACATCGCAGGCAACCAGCTAAGGGTCTTACCTGTCCAAGCCACAAGCCAGGCGACTTGACACCCCACATGTTACACCCCTGGAGGTGAAAAGCGGACGAGTCACACTTCCAGCTCTCGATCTCCAGCAGGCCACACACAACACCACATCAAGGCTGGGAAAGGCAAAGGCAGCCGCTGGGCAGGAAAAGAAACGGGAGGAAATTACACGACCAGCATGGGGCATAGTTGAACTGCCTAGTAACACATTACTCACAGAGACTATCGACTACTTACCTCATGAGGAATCTTGAGCCCAGCGGACATTCTCTCTAAACAGGGCGGAGGCAGGGAAGCCACAAGCCAGGAAGATCAAGCATGCCCCACAGCTTACCACTTACAGCACCCCGATGGAGCACGACCTGAGGAACGGAAGGACTCGCATGCGGGGACCCGGTGGAGTTAAATAGCTTGCTTATTTCGCTCACGTGTTTATACTACGTTACAATTGTTATAGTTGCTTTATGATTTATCTGTCAGATATGTACCATATCGTAATGTGGGGATCCTCAGCCCATTGACTGACATGCCCTGTAACTTAATTTAGCCTAAGACAAACCACTGCTACTTGTTTCAGCCTAAAGCTCATAAGCAAAACTTGCAATGGATCAGTCTGAAATATTCTGTCTAGGAACGTAGTTCTTGCATTAATATACCTTTCATGTATTTAGCATGATAAAATAACAAAAAATATGCTATTTAGACGGAAACCCGCTCACGCTCATGCACCGGTTCCATTACGCGCAGCTGCTACACTACTACCATAACCTACCGCACAGAACTAAAATACACAGGGACCTCACATGGTATGAAACACTATGCTCACAAGCACCGGAAGCGGACGGGACAGTGTCGGCGATATACGGAACCTTAATCACAGGTAATAGAACGAACAACAACCTGTTCAAACGACAATGGGAGGAATGGACGGACACGACTTTCCCAGATGACCAATGGGTCAAAATCCTGATACTACAACACAAGAGCTCCTCCAGCTCTCACTACCAGGAGGTAAACTTCAAACTACTGACACACTGGTACCGCACACCCTTTGCTCTCAGCCGATACATTCCGACTATACCGAACACCTGCTGGAGATGCAATGCGGGTCCCGGAACGCTGCGACACATATGGTGGGACTGCACAATCATTGAGCCATACTGGAGGAAGATCGAACGTGAACTCCAGAACATTCTGGACGACCCCCCAACCCTGACGATGGCGGCCGCCCTTCTACACCACACGGAACAACCGCTTGCCTCCTACAAGAAGTCGATTCTGAGACACCTGCTGAACGCAGCTAAATTGCTGATCCCACTACACTGGAAGAAACAAGAACCACCCACGACAGAACAATGGAAACGCAAGGTGGAAGACATACGAATAGCGGAAGCCAAAATAGCAGAGCTGCTGGAGAGAGAAGAATGACACACGGAGACCTGGAGGCCTTGGCTGGCATATGTAACATAGAAGGTGACCCCATACGTCAAACAGGCGAATACTCCCCCCCCCTTTTTTTCTTTCCCCCCCCCTCTTCTTCTTCTTCTTCTTTTCTATCTCTCCAAACCTATAACACAACACAAGGATCACGGAGACATAACAACCTGGTAGGTGCTACACCACACCGTAGTACAAACACAGCCGAAGAAACAGCTATATACTAATACACGCTGATCGGAACAGAAAAGGAAAATACAACGGCCACACAAAAGCAAACTCAGATTGAACCATTAAACAAACATACCTAGCTCTAGTTCCAGCGCCATCTGGAATCCACAGAGGCGAACACGAGCAATCTAGGCATGGTCACCCACGAAAGCGGTATATACTGCTTGGTGGCCGGCCATCACAGAAAGCAACCCCAAACGGAGGTAACGACAAACATACACTAGCTGAAGTAGTGAACAAGGGAAGGGAGACCCAGGACCGTAAGACAAGCCCAACACAATGTAAAGATCAACAGCAGCGCACAAATATGCCACAGTATAACGCACAACACTCAAGAATAAAACGCACGAGACAAAGGACTAAAGAGTTCTGGTAAAACCGCTCATACCGGACACTCGGACGATATCCGACACAGACAGAAGCCCAGAAGGTAGGGGGCTACCGACGCCAGGCGACTGCACCAATGCACGGATAGAACACAACGAACCATGTGATAGGGACTCCCATAGCAGAAGGAGATAGCCCTAACCCCACAGTAAAAGAAACATCACATGATACCAGGGAATGCAAAACAGGGGGGAAGAAGAAAAGGGGGAGGAAGAGGAGGAGGGAAGCAGGGAAAGGAGAGGGAAGGAGAAGGAAAAGGAACAAGAAGGGAAGGATGGGAAGAAGGGAACTAGAGGATGGAGGGGAAGCGGGGAGGGAAGGAGAGAGGAAAGGAAACAAAGGAGATACGGAATTTATAGACACATGAGGATAATAAAGCCTATAAGTCTCAAGGAATACTGTGTAAATGTTAAATATTAAAGTAAACTAAATGTTACTGTACACGAGACCTGCGTGTCTCCCGACTCACTAATGCATGTTTGATTGTATATGCTACAGCGAACCTTCACAAATAAACTCATATTTACAAAAAAAAAATAAAAAAAAATATGCTGTTTAATTGCATGCCATATTGTCTCAATGTCCAAGATGAGCCTGTAGTCGCTGTTGTGGCACTGCAAGATTATCTGTTCTTACACGCACAAGGAAAAATAAAGAATTAAAAAATATATATATATCTTGGGGTAAAAATGGCTCACAGTGACCAACAACATGATGAGAATACAGACACATCAGTACACACCTTTGTATGAGGAATTGCTGAACCCATCACTATACTAAAGCTTGACAATTGGTTGTGGACAGCAGCTACAGGCATATCATCTTGAATAGACATGTTAAAGTACTCCTAAATGGCAGAGAATTGAACAGTGAGATTTTAGAGGCATAATCTAAATACAAAAGCTATTCCATTAAGCCAAACTTATTTTGGTGCCTATAGTGTATCATTAATAATAAACAAGATAATTACAAATTGTAACAGGAACAATCGGGTGTTAGAAACCTGCCTAAAAGAGCTTAAAAAATAGAGTATCGGAAAAAAACTCATACCGGAATAAATCTTTTGTTAAGATTCAGTTTAGGATGCCTTCACTCAAATATTTTTGTTTGTTTGATTCAGAATGGGAAATCAGGAACAATGTTCCCATTGGAACAATAAAACAAGCCATTACGTCAGGAGGAGACACTGGTCCCTGGATGAAATATATGAGTGGAGAGTTAACTGCTCAGAGTTTTGTGGAAGAATTTGGAAAGCAATGCTCAAATATTGTGAGTTTACAGTATATTGTTGAATTTAATTAGCTTGTTTTCATTATTATTTTTTTTTTTTTGAAGGGCTGTATATATTTATTTATTACATATCTAAATTGAGGCATTAAAACCTTCACTATCACATTGTTGTTGCTGTAGCATAACATTTATCTAAATTGTGACATTGGTAGCTTGCATATACACATATTGTATAGTTTGTTATATACCAAAAAAGAAATACAATAAATCTATGTTAATTTGTATATAATGTATTTTTATCAATTTGTCCTATATGGAAATATTAGTGGGATAAAACATTTTGGAGATTCTATTGTGTCCTTAAAGGAATACTATAGTGTTAGAAATACAAAATACTATAGTTCCCTTCTGCCCCTCTCCTCCGCGGCAGTTAAAGTGTTAAAAAAAAACTCTTTAAACATACTCCTCATTCCAGTGCTGAAGTCCCTCGGCGCTGGCTCCATCTCCTCCTCCATAGACGTCAGCACTGAGGGTGAATCTGATGACAGCATAAGCAGATATCCACTAGAGGCAGTCTTAGCCCTGTAATATAAACACTGCAGTTTCTCTTAAACTACCATGTTTTAGATTGCATGGTTAAGGGGATTGGGACTCTGCACCCAGGCCACTTCAGTGAGATGAAGCGGCCTGTGTGCCTATAGTGTCCCTTTAATTTTCCAATATTTTAGACAGGTTCTGGAAAATTTGCATAAAAGAGGGATGCAATTTTGTTACATACAATAGATAGATAAATCAGAAAGCCTACTTTTGATATTTGTAGGAAACGCAAATGATTTTTTAGGAAAACGGCTTCTTAAAATGAGCCTGGAAGTAATAATACAAAACAACAACAAATAATTCCCATAGTATGTACAGTTATAGAAATAAAAAGGTTAATTACAGTGACTTTCAGCCTGTACTAGCAGTCTTGTGGTATAGACTAATTAGTTGCAATATTAAAACCACCTGCCTAAGTCCTGCAGCTTGTGAAGTGGGACCTACATGGATTGGATTTGTTGTCCCAGAATGTCTCCCAGATCTCAATCCTATTGAGCATCTGTGGGATGTGTTGGAACAACAATTCCAATTTGTGGAGGCCCCATTTCGCAATTTGCAAGACTCAAAGGAATTTTAAAACCACCTACCCAATATCCTGTAGGTCCCTCTCATGCTGCCGCAACAGTGCCTCTGATGTATCAAGGCATAGACTTTACAAGACCGTTGAACGTGTCCTGTGTTATCTGGCACCAAGATATTAAAAGTAGATCCTTTTAGTCCTGCAAGTTGTAAGGTGGGGCCTCCATTGGATTTTTTGTAACATCCACATGAATGCCAGGACCCAAGAATTCCCGCATTGCCCAGAGCATAACACTACCTTCACCGGCCTGACTTCTTCCCATAGTGCATCCTGTCCCAGGTAAACAACAGACACGCACCCAGCCATCCACCTGATCTAAAAGAAAATGTGATTCATCAGACCAGGCAATCTTTTTTTCATTGCTCCATTCTCCACTTTTGACTATGGACAGGGGTCAACATGGGCACTCTGACCGGTCTGTGGCTATGCAGCCCTATATGCAGCAAACTGTGATACACTGTGTGTTCTGACACCTTTCTATCAGGGCGAGCATTATGTATTTTAGCAAACTGAGCTACAGTAGCTCTTCTGTGTGATAGGACCAGACAGGCTAGCTTTCGCTCCCCACGTACATCAGTAAGCCTTGGGTGCACATGACCCTGATGCCAGTTCACCAGTTGTCCTTCCTTGCACCAATTTTGGTAGGTACAAACCACTGCATACTTCAAACATCCCACAAGATTTGCCGTTTTAGAGATGCTCTCACCCAGTCTTCTAGCCATCACTATTTGGCCCTTGTCAAAGTCACTCATATCTTTTCTCTTGCCCATTTCCTTTTGGCTCCAACACATGAAATTCAAGACCTGACTGTTCACTTGCTGCCTGATATATTCAATTACTATTGTAAAAATATAATAAATGTTATTCAATTGACAGTAGTTTTAATGTTTTGGCTGATCAGTGTACTCTGTGTGTTTAGTACAATGTCTGTGCCCTGACGTTTCCCTGCCTCTTATAATGCAGCTATAAAATATGAACTACTTAAATTTGCTCTTGTATGTGATGAGGAAGAAGGCTGCCATTTTCATTTCCTCGGTGGAGATAGAAGATAGTAAAAATTAGCTCTGCCAGAGAAATTTATATACCTGCAGGATGAAAATCAGATGAAGATAAGGACCAATCATGTAACTGGAAAGAAAGAGGAATTATAATATTCAGTGAGGACAAATGCAAGATTATGCATTTTGGAAAAAAAATAATATATAAACATGTAATTTGTACTTAAAGGACCACTATAGGCACCCAGACCACTTCAGCTCAATGAAGTGGTCTGGGTGCCAGGTTCATCTAGGGTTAACCCTACAGCTGAAAACATAGCAGTTTCAGAGAAACTATGTTTTACTGATGGTTAATCCAACCTCTAGTGGCTGTCTAACTGACAGTCGCTAGAGGCGCTTCTGCGATTATCACTGTGCGCAGGAGCTGCGCGCGCATTCAGCCAGTCAATAGGAAAGCATTTTCAATGCTTTCCTATGGACGCTGGCGTCTTCTCACTGTGATTTTCACAGTGAGAAGCGCGGAAGCGCGCCTCTAGCTGCTGTCAATGAGACAGCCACTAGAGGCTGGATTAACCCTATAGAAGAAAGGGTTAATCCTAGCTGGACCTGGCACCCAGACCACTTCATTAAGCTGAAGTGGTCTGGGTGCCTATAGTGATCTTTTAAATGGAGATTGTAATTGTTGAGATCAAACTTAGTAACAGGGCAGAGGCAGTCAGGGACTGCAGTAGGAAGAGCAATAGATATTAAAGGATTCTACAGTGTTAGGAATACACACCTTTTATTTCCTCCGATGGGAGACCTAATGCGCAACGAGTGCATTAAGCCCTCCCCACAGTAAAGCATTGGATCAATGCTTTCCTATGAGGACTTCACTGATGCTGGATGTCCTCCTTTAGGTGACCTAAAGTCTGGTAAACTCCCGGAAGTGCCTCTAGTGGCTGTCTGGAAAACAGCCACTAGAGGCTGTCTAGTTCTGCAATGAAAACATTGCAGTTTCTCAAAACCTGCACTTATTTACATTGCAGGACTAAGGAGACAATGAGATTAAGTGGTCTGGGTCCCTATAGTGTCCCTTTGAAGCCATTGATTTAAGAGAGTATTATTTTGCCTCTTTATTAATTTAACGATAAGATCCCTCCTCAAATATACAGTGTTATCATGGACACCAGTTTCCAAAATGGACATTATAGAGCTGGAAAACATGATGCAGTACACTGCAGAATAGGAGGAATGGAATATGTTTGGAGTATAGTAAGGATACTTATTATCCCTAAACAACTATGCCCCCTCCTTAGCCATTCCCTGCCTCTTCATTCTCTCCCCATTGTTAGCCATCCTCACCTGTACAACGTTTGTAAGATTCTACCTTTGCATCCATGCTCCTTTATCCGTGTCTTCATTTATTCAATAGTGTTACCACTGATCTGTCTACATATACCTCTGATTATAACACGTTTTATCTTTTGCTTACTCAGACAGGATCCTCCGTTCCAGTTCACAGCTTCCTTTCAGACCTTACAAGCAACAACATGGTAAAGCAGCTGCCGTGTATGACTGAGGCTATCAAGTACATTAGATCCAAAGGTCTCAAGACTGCTGTTTTAAGCAATAACTTCTTTCTACACAATGGTGAAAGTTTCCTGCCTATAGACCGCTCACAGTTTGACGTGGTATGTTGGAAACAATAATTAATAAAGTGAAATTGCTGAACTAGTATGGTTTTGTAATTGTTCTCTTGATTTTCAGCTTAATTAAAATGACCTGACCACATACCTTAATAATGTTAAGCAGAATGCTGATTTCTGATGTAACCGTTTGTTTTTTGGAGTCTTATGAGCAAAGTGTTTTTTGGTTTTTTTTCATGGGCATAATAGTGTAAAGAAACTGTTGCTTCCATATGCCAAAAAAAAAAGCTTGCTGATCTCTAAATTAGACATATCATGGCAAGGAGCAAGCTGCAGTTCAAAGTGTGAAGGGATACATAGTAACAGCAGCTAAACACATTTTATGACTATAGATCCTTTCTTTCAAAGGGACACTATGGTCACCAGATCCACTACAGCTTAATGTAGTGATCCTGATGTCTGTAGTATGTCCCAGCAACCTTTACATTGCTGGCTAGTAACACCCCTAGTGGCAGTCACTCAGATGGCCACTGGAGATGCTTCCTGTGTCAGTGCTGCACAGTGTGATGTACTGGCGTTCAGTGTTTGTAAGCGCTGCTTGGAGACTCTGAACATTCAGACACATTGATTCAATACATTTCTATGAGTATATGCTAATTAAAGCAATGCTGCATTTTGTCGTGCATGCACAATAGCCTTCCAATGCTTTCCTATGGAAAAACATTGAATTCACTAAAATCGCCAAAACTGATAATCTCAGCCACAGAGCCGGAGCCAGGCAGGGTCATCTGCAGTTAGTAAAAGTGGAATAAGGCATTGATTCATGAGACAATAGCTACTGAGGTACACTATAAAGTATGAATTAACCATATAGTTTCTGTTATTCCAGGTTGTTGAATCTTGTATTGAACATGTTTGTAAGCCAGACCCTCGAATTTATAAGTTGTGTGTGGAGCGATTGGGTATCCAGCCACAAGAATCCATTTTTCTAGATGACATTGGACAGAATCTGAAAGCTGCTGCAAAGCTTGGAATTAGCACAATAAAGGTTGGTGAAAGTTTTGGAACTGACAATTGTAACATTATTTTGTGAGTATATTAAGGAAATTAATAATAATGTTAGCACTGAAGAATTTTTCACAGAACACGCACCACAAGAACAAATGCTCATGGTCTGAAATTGAAGTGTGAGAAGCTTAGGGACAATATTTGTAAGCACTTCTTTAGGAGGTGGTGGATCCATGGAATTCTATTGAGCAGCTACAGCTGAACTGTCACACAAGTAATGTGAGACTATCTCTAAGGTGAAATATAATTGTATTAACCACAGCTAATTACGTTGCAAATAGTTGAACATTGGAGTGGAAATGAGGATTAAACAAATGTACACTCCAGGTCAAATGTTATGCACTTTGAGAAAGGACTTCATGCCAAAACCAGCTGGTGCAATATTATAGAGATGGTAGGGAGGATGCGTTCCAGCATTATCCCCTCATTATTGACTTCTTCTTTTAATTTCATATTCAGGTAATAGTTTAACTTACTACAATGCAGTTAGCATAGACTGATACAATTAGATTTCATCTTGCAGATATTGTTGCATTTTATTTGTGAGTACTATTTACCGACTTATAAAAGATATGACACTGTAAAATCTAGAAAAAATTACAGGAGTAGACTTCCGGTTCATCCATCTTAGCTGGCCCCTTTTTTACTCACCTCCTCTCGGGATAATTCCATCTGACTCCATCCAACGTTTTGGTGCTGTCTGGGGCTGGTGCAAACACTGGGCTCTCCTCCTCACATCCTCCCCGATCGACTGGACTCCATTGGAGGACCCGCTTGGAGGTCTGCTCGCTGCTCCGCACATCGAGAGTGAAGGCCGGAAGTCAAGGCCTTTGAGATAGGCCGCAGCTGTTGGGGAAATATTACATCTCTGCTACTCAGATCCAGCGAGGCTGGGGCTTACGATCTCCGACGCCAGGGGGCACACATCACTCGCAGTGGATACCGCGACAGGTTCCGCATCACCTCTTAAAGCTGTACCTCATACTTGCAACTACCCCACCTGTGCAGCCCCTTTAGACCACACGCAGCTGAGTTTCAGCCACACACATTGCCTCTGAAGGAAGACACACTGACAAGTTGTGGCTGCCAGTGTACTCACAGTCTCTCAGCTCAGACCTTGCTCCAGGTGACCTTGCTCCATATTCACATACCTCAACTCTGAACCCAGCTGCTTATACGTATATACTTAAATTAGTTATTAATTTTTCCCCCCACTAATTTGCCTCAGGCCTGCGACACTCTAAGGAAGAGTGGCAGGCTGTCACCTCATTTGAACTGCATGCATCAATACTACCAACAGTGAGACGTCAAAACGAGGATTTCAGAATACCTCTTCCCTGTCATTATTATTTCTTCTCTCACTGCACAACAACCTCAGTGATGCGGCTCTGATAACTGACAACCACTCTCTGTGTACATAGTAAGTCTAGCTCACAAAGAGGAAAAGGAGAAGAGGGGAGCGAGAAATGAAGGAAAGAAAGGGGAAAAAGCCTTCAGACAAGCCGTAAATGTCCGCTCACATTCTATGTACATACCTCGGTTGACTTTTGTTTTTGTTTTTCATTATTGGCTGTCGAAATATATCAATTGTGGTCGCATGATATCCCTTGCTATATTCAATTAATAAGTCCCCTGGGCTACTGCAAGATTGCCAAGTGCCACTCTGAAGATTCCCACCTCCCCTTCCTTCCTGACAGAATAAGTCTACCATCCATCACACTGAGGATCCAAACATATCCAGACAAGAATACAAATGCATACTTTCTCATTTTTGTTGCATTTATCATTTGTTTTTTGTTTTTTTCACCTCTTACCACTGGCTGAAATCTATTTGCCAAGGTCTTCACAGACCCTCTTCACTACTACTTCAGAGCTTCTGGAAATCTTTACTTACAGCTTATCACAAGTGGGTTCAACTCATCAACGGCCATAGCTCCTCCTCACAAGTACTGTAAATACCTTGGTTGAATATTTTTTCTCTTTTCCTCCCCCCCCCCCTTAATTATCAACCACCACTGCGATATACCATTCACCTCGTCTGTGGAAGAGAAAGATACTTTTATTATTATTTTATTATTTATATAGGGCCATCAGATTCCGTAGCGCTGTACAATGGGTGGACTAACAGACATGTAATTGTAACCAGATAACTCAACGTACAGGAACAGAGAGGTGGAAGGCCCTGCTCAATGAGCTTACATGCTAGAGGTAGTGACACAAAGGGTAAAAGTAGGGGTACGAAGTGGGTTATTAGAAAAGTATTAATTGAGGGCTTAGTAGGTAATTTTTGACCGTTGCAGGAGAGGAGTGGGTATAAGAACCTGCTAACAGTTTAATTGATATGCTTTCTTGAAGAAGTGAGTTTTCAATTATTTTTTGAATGAGTGGAGACTGGGTGAAATTCTTACGGAGAAGGGAAGGGAGTTCCACAGAAGAGGTGCAGCCCTGGAGAAATCTTGGAGGCGAGCATCAGAGATGGGAGTACAGACAGAAGAAATAAGTAGGTCTTTTGCAGAACGTAGGGGTCTTGACGGGACGTACTTGTGTATTAGGGAAGATAGGTAGGTTGGAGCAGCATTATGTAGGGTCTTGTAAGCAAGCACCAGAATTTTAAATTGAGCCCTATGTCTAACTGGAAGTCAATGCAGGGACTGACAGAGCGGGGAGGCGTGGGAGGTGCGAACGGACAAGAAAATGAACCTCGCCGCCGCATTCATTATAGATTGCATCGGTGCAATCTGGGAACATGTAAGATCATTGAGATATTGCAGTAGTCAAGGCGAGAGAGAACAAGAGCATGGACCAGAACCTTAGCTGGTAGTAGTAACACTTGAGGAAGAAAAGACCAAAAGTTCTGTTTTGAACAGGTTGAGTTTAAGGAAGTGAGCAGCCATCCAGTTGGAGATCGAAGAGAGGCAGTCAGAGACACAATGGGCGGAGAGAGATCAGGAGAGGACAGGTAGATTTGCGTGTCATCCGCATAGAAATGATAACGGAAGCTAAAGGAGCTGATGACTTTACCAAGGGAGGCAGTATATATAGAGAACAGTAGGGGACCAAGGACAGAATCTTGGGGAATGCTGACAGAGAGTGGTTGGGGGGGAAGAGGCAGAGTCACTGAAAGAGCGCTGGGAGAGGTAGGAGGAGCACCAGGAGAGAGCAGTATCCCGTAGACCAAAATTACAGAGAATGCAAAGAAGCTGTTGACAATCAACAGTGTCAAAGGCAGCAGAAAGATCAAGAAGAATTAGGATAGAGTATTGGCCGCGAGATTTAGCAGCAATTAAATCGTTGGATACTTTGGTCTCAGCCGTTTCAACAGAATGACCAGCGGAATCCAGACTGAAGGGGGTCAAGAGGAGAGAAAGAGCCAGGCTGTAGGAGTGCAGCATAAATTTATAGTGGATAAAGTCAGATGCAAAGTGAGACTTTCTCCAGCAGCGTTCAGCAGATCTAGAACAATTTTGGAGGTAACGTGTCAGCTTGGTGTGCCAGGGTTGTAAGAGGGGGCGCTTGCTGAGTTTAATTGTAGGAGGTGCCATGATGTCGAGTTGAGAGGAGAGAGTTGAGTTGTAGAGTGAGGTTGCAGAGTTAGGGCAAGTTAGATTTGAGATGGGTAAAAGGAGAGTTTGGTATTTGGAGAAATGCTGGAGATCAAGGCAGTTGAGGTTTCTGCGACATTGGAGAGTTGAGGGTGGTAACATTTGGGCATGGGGTATTCTGATGTCAAATGTTAGCAGATGGTGGTCAGACAAAGGAAATGGAACAGTGGAGAGATTAGAGGTGGTACAGAGATTGGTGAAGATGAGGTCAAGAGTGTTTCCTGCTGTATGAGTTGCTGAAGTAGACAACTGCGTGAGGCCAAAGGAGGAGGTTACAGAGAGCAGACGGGAGGCATCAGGGCAGTTGAGGTTGTTGATTGGGATGTTAAAGTCTCCAAGTATGAGGGAGGGAGTGCTAGAGGAGAGAAAGTGGGGTAGCCAGGAAGAAATGTGTTCAATGAATAGCCTAGGATGACCGGGAGGGCGATAGATGATGGCAATTCTTCAAGGAGTGGGCTTAAAAAGGCAGACAGTGTGAACTTCAAAGGAAGTAAAGGAAAGGGCAGATGAAGGGAGGATAGGTTGAAAGGTACATTGAGGGGAGAGAAGCATGCCTACATCGCCTCCTTTACTGTCGAGTCTGGGAGTGTGGGAGAATTGTAGTCCACCGACTACACCAACATAAAGAAGCGGGAGTAGCGGTATCAGAGGGGGACAGCCAGGTCTCAGTGAGTGCCAGTATTTTGAGTGAGTTAGAAATAACAAGGTCGTGTATAGCTGTTGATTTAATATTACTACAGATTGAACGGGCGTTCCAGAGTGCACACTGAATTTTTGTAAAGGAGGATAAACTGCATGTGGATGAGGTTTGTGTGGTTTTTGGTTGTCTTAGTGTGAGCAGACGAGGTGAAGGGCTCCGGGTTGGGTGAGACATCACCAGCTGCTAGAAGTAGGAGGAGAGATAGTGACAGGAGGTGTGAATGGGTTTTATATGACCGGGGTCTAGGATGAGTTTGAGTTAGAGCAGAGAGAGAATAGAGAAATGAGTGCAGGACTTGAGATGAGAGATGGGGGGGAGTGAATCAGAAAGGAATAAATGTTAATGTAATTGTGTTGTTGAGGGAAGTGGGTGTAAGGTTTGTAATTTGGGGTTGGGGGTTGGCATTTTTTATTTAATTTTTTTTTTTAAATTAATTGTTTTTTAGTACCCCATCCCTGCTTCTTACTTGGCCAGGGAGGGGGGATATGGCATTCCCTGGTTGTCCGGTGGCATGGTCTGTACAGTGGGGGCCCACAGCAAGCTCTTACTTACCTTCCCAGCAGCTCCCTTCATATTGACGAAAATACTGAATATCGGCCGATAATATCAGCCAGACCAATAATCGGTCGATCCCTAATACACACACAGATATACACACACACAAACATAAACGTACATATAGTAAAGAACAAGCAAGCCCAGGTATGTTACAATGACAAAGAAATAGTGGTTAAAGATACATTGTATAAAAAATACACAAGTAGTTAAAGTACTATAAAATGATAGCGTCTAGTATTAACGGTTGCTAGTGTCCTCCATTGTCTACCTTGCATAAGGCACTGGATATTTACTGGGTCTTGGAGACTGATCAAGACACCATTAAATATTTCTAACAGTTATCACCCCTAACTGTACTCATTACCTATCTCCGTTCACAACATCTTTCTTCTCTACTCTTCGCACTCACTCACTAACACTCTCTCAGTTGCTGGGCCATATACCTCCACACATACCACAAACTCAAACTGATCTTTCTCTTCACAACACAACACTACTTACAGTCACTTCCTCACTCCCTCCACTTCCTTCACATTCCTATAGCAAGATTGACTTTTTTTCTTTTATACTAACACCCCTTGTCTGCTCTAATTTCCCTCCTCATCTCCGTTATGGATAAATACATTGATAAATCCTCCTCTAAACGACATAGCAGCAAACCTCAAAGATCTGCCAAGAAACAACACCTCAGAGAATCCTCACGACCATCCAAACCGGCCATTTCCCCTACTGGCTGTGCTATGGATGGGGATCTCACCTCACCCCTCACTGCATCTACTCTCATCTCACAGCAAGCCTCAGAAGCAGCCCGTGAGGTTTCTAATATCCTCAAACTGATCTTTGATTCCCAATTCAAGGACCTTAAAGTATCTATTGATAATGCAGTCCATTTACTCCAATCCCATTCTACTCAAGTTACTCTACTAGAAGGGGCGGGGCCGGACCACCAAGCAGAGTAGACGCATGGTACTCTAGCTCCTGCAATTCACAGGCAATTTGGTCCCAAAACACAACTTCTCGCGGTGAGACACGGCAGGCAACTGCACTATGAGGTGCTAGCGAGATCAGTCAGCGACCTGATTCTTGGCCCCTTTTGGGGAGAAAACGGAGCTCCGTGACCAAGGCCTAGTCAAGCCTACCCAGGTGGTGAGTAGGGTGGACGGCCTCCGCCCTGCTATCCTGCCTGACTGCACCCTGGGGGTCCCCTAATGCAATAGGGTGATGGCCCTGCTTCCCCCCCTTGGGCCGGTGGGGCTCATCCTGGCCTACCCTGGGGTTCTACTCTGATCGGAAACCACGCCTAACACCTAAGATGGCGGCTGAGCCTGACCGGCATGCTATAGAGAGGGCGACCCGCCCCTCAGGGCTCTTGGCGCTCACAACGGGCAACTCTGGGAGAAATCGTATGAGCAACTTACCTATCCTGAGACCCGACATGGGGTGCTACCAATCGACACTGAGGACCTTGTGCGGAGATCAGCTGACTGGCAAATCCCGAGGTAATCAGGCTGCAAGCTACGGTCCCACGATGCTGAGAAACACAACCGATATCAGCGGATCACCACGAAGACCCTGCACATATCAAGCTCCCAACCGCAAACGGATGATACCACAAAATCAGGGAAGTGTTCGCAGATGGAGCTGAGAAGCAAAGGACTGTAACCTGCCAGTGATGGGAGTTGGCTGCTCTCTGCATGAGGACTGGGGTTGCCTACTCCCTGACTCCTGGGTATCAACTATCAGGGTCACATTTACCTTTCCACTGAGAAGAGAGTCTCTGTTCGGGGGCCCAGGGTTCTTTAATCACTGTGGCATTAATCTACCCACTTTTTATGCAAACACTAGCCATGCCATTTTGCCTAGCATACTTGTCTTTCTCACCTAACTTACTTTAACTATTATTTCCTTTTTTTGCTTTCATCTCCTTTTCTCAAGCCTGCTGTCAGGAAGCAAAGTGCACATATTGTCTCTCAGTTGATTCCCTATAGGCAGATATGATGTCTTGTTGTAGGCTACCACTAGTTTGTACATCCACCTACATGCATGTCCTACTGTCTGTCATTTAACTACCAAGCCTAGAGCAGGATTTATCATAACCTGTCACTGACAGTGTTGTAGATAATTTACTGCAAACCAATTAGTTTGAATGACTATCTGTTCCTGTCCAAATTAAAGATAATAAAGTTGCGTGCACGCAGAAGTAAATTCACACTGAGACACAAAGTTCAGGTTAATGAAAGAACTTCGGAGAAGTTTAATGGCTTCTGACAGAAAATGGGTGCGCAGACCCTTTTAAAGGCATTATTACATCACTGAAGAATTCAAGATAACAGCAAATAGACACTATTGATTGGTCCAGGTGTTAAGTGGTTAGTTAGATACCCTCCTATCAAGAGGTGATGTCATCCTTGACACGGGAGTGGACACAAGATGTAGGCGCCATCTTGTTAGCACGAGGTGTTCACTCGATGGGAGGGGTGCTTTGGCAGCCATTTTGAGTAGTTAGTATTGTTAGCTTCTCAAGGTTAGGTTTCAAGGCTTTTAGTAAATACACATTTTATCAAAGCTATTTCTTGCTGACATGCAAATTCTATGTTCTATAGACAAAGCTTTCTTGTAAAACTATGGGGCCTCTTAGAGGTATAGCAAGAGGATTTAAAGGGGCCTTACAGATTTATAGAGGCCTAATAATTCTACAACAACAGTATAGATTGCACAGCATCAGATTCAGTATAAGCACCCTGACAGATAAGCGAGACTAGCCTGCAAAAGCCTGTATGTTATTCCCTGTTTATATTGAGCTCAATTACTCAGCTAATATAACTAAACGAAATGAACATGCTATGTATATGCCTCAATAATTAAAATTTTGCCTATTAATTTACAGATTTTACTATTAACATGACGTAAAGTCATGATTTTATTAATGACACGGAGGCTCCTATTATGCTGCATTCTTTCTTTATTTACCTCAGCAGCACAGAAAAATAACATTAAATCAGTATAGAATAAACCAGTAAATAACATGAGGTATATCTTCCTAGCAACAGGAAAAGCCAATCAGTATCCTCTTTATAGCATAATAGGCAGTGTCCAGTATACTACTTCCTCTTTCTTGCGATCCCGAACAAGGACAACAAATCCAAATAAAAAGTGGGCTCCAATAAGAGGGTATACGAGCCTTAAAGGAACACTATAGTCACCTAAATTACTTTAGCTAAATAAAGCAGTTTTAGTGTATAGATCATTCCCCTGCAATTTCACTGCTCAATTCACTGTCATTTAGGAGTTAAATCACTTTGTTTCTGTTTATGCAGCCCTAGCCACACCTCCCCTGGCTATGATTGACAGAGCCTGCATGAAAAAAAAACTGGTTTCACTTTCAAACAGATGTAATTTACCTTAAATAATTGTATCTCAATCTCTAAATTGAACTTTAATCACATACAGGAGGCTCTTGCAGGGTCTAGCAAGCTATTAACATAGCAGGGGATAAGAAAATCTTAATTAAACAGAACTTGCAATAAAGAAAGCCTATACAGGGCTCTCTTTACAGGAAGTGTTTATGGAAGACTGTGCAAGTCACATGCAGGGAGGTGTGACTAGGGTTCATAAACAAAGGGATTTAACTCCTAAATGGAAGAGGATTGAGCAGTGCGGCTTCAGGGGCATGTTCTATACACCAAAACTGCTTCATTAAGCTAAAGTTGTTCAGGTGACTATAGTGTCCCTTTAAACTGGATCTCGAAGTCAAGCTGGAAGAGAAAGGATAATATGGTAATATCCAAGTATAAAACTGGATTTATGCATAAATTCGCATTACATGGAATATCAGATATATATACATAACATGAAATTCAGTTTAGTAAAACCTTAAGCTCTTGACAGTCATTGACAAGGATAAAACCCGGTAATCAAAAAAGACTTACCTTGAAGTCAACTTACCTAGAGAAGACCAAACCTCCAGGGATGGAAGGGAGGATAATACTCGCCTCCGTGTCATTAATAAAATCATGACTTTACATCATGTTAATAGTAAAATCTGTTACTTTTATTAAGACACAGAGGCTCCTATTATGCTAGTTCAAAGCTGTGAAATTGTGTCTCCTTTGAAGTGTTGAATAGGTCTGAAGTAGAAATCATGGAATGTAGAATGTAGACTCCGAAGACCAGCCGCTCTCATAATATCCTCCAAGCGACAACCAATCGAGGAAGCCTTAGAAGCCATTGCCCCACGAACCGAATGAGGCACACACACATAGGTATCAATACCTGCTAGAGACATAACGTATTTGACCCACCAGGCTAGAGTAGACACCGGAAGATGCGACTTTTGGAAGGAGATGAAGAGTTCCTGTTTCAAAGGATTCCGTAACGTAGTGGAACGATGTTTACACACCCATTAGTATGCAACAGGGCAAAGGAGAGATCTATAAGGGAAAGCTGGGTAAAATTGATTTTAGAGGAGATTTTTGTCCTCCGTGAAATGTCAAAGAGGACACCTTCTGGAATAAAGGAACGAGCAACCACCTCAAGAGCTCGTACATCAGAAAAACCTCTTGCAAGAAAAAAATTCAAGACAATAGAGACGTCCCACAAGACAGAGTATAATGGTAAGGGTAATGAGCAAACCATATTCCTCAGAGAAGTCAACCGACAGGCGTCCAATAGAAACTTTGATGGCCAGCAGAAATGGACGATCGGTAAGGTCCACAGTGCGATAGGCTGTACTTTCATCATAGAAGTCAGAAAAATGGAGGACAGACATAAAAGGAGCCGATATGGGATTTAAATTTAATTTCATGCACCAACTATGCCATCTGCTCCAAGCAGATTTATAAGCCTGTCTCGTGTTGGGTGCACCCTTGATAAGTTGGGGAGTTGATTGCGAAACTCCCTTGACCGACCAAGGTTCCCTGAAATAGACTACACTATGAGATGCAAGAGACCTTGGAGAACAAGGGGATGAGGTACACCATCTGGATCCTGAAGAAGGCACTCGAGAGATGGAAGGTCGATAACCATCTCCTGAATAGGAGAGAACTATAGTTGGGATGGCAATAGAGGAGACACAATCACCAGGTGCCGGACTGGCGATGTAGATGGAAAGGCAACAGGGAATCAGTGCAAAGGGCAGAAAATCATAATTCCTTGGACAAAACATTCATAGCCAGTGCTATCGGATCTGGTCTCCAACTGAAAAAACAGGGAAGTTGAGCATTCAAACGAGAAGCAAAAAATATCTCCCCATAGGTTCCAGGTGTCTTGGAAGACCATGGAATCCAAGTGCCAGTCGCTGGAATCTCTGAGTTGGTGTGAATACCAGTCTGCCGTAGTGTTGGAGAGACCTTGAATATATTCTGCCGTGACTGAAATGCCGTGTATCAGGTAAAATTGCCAGAAATCACGAAGCATGTAGGTCAGAATGTTGTATTTTGTGCCTCCAAGTGATTTATGTAGCGGACTGCTGACACGTTGTCCATCTTCAGAAGGATGGCGCATTGAGCTTGAGTTGGGGAGAAACTGTGGACTTCAAAGGAACCGGCCAGATGTTCCAAACAAATCATGTGGAGTGTCGATTCCAGGTTTGATTATCTGCCCTTGGTGGAAATATTTCCGCATTGAGCACCCCAACCGTGCAAACTTGCGTCGGATTTGATTATCAAATCTGGAGCTGTACAAAATATAGTGCACTCATTCCAAGCTTCCATGTGAAGAAGCCACCATTGGAGTTCATCCTCCGCTTCTGAGTCCAGAGTTTTTTTGCCACCGGAAGGGTAGGGTAGAATCTACAATAATCCAATATAACCCAGAAATTAGATTTGTTGCGTGGGAACGATAATGGATTTCTCCCAATTGATCAGGAAGCCTAGGTTCTCTAACAGAGTCAAAGTCCATGCAAGGTATGTCCAGATTAATTGAATAGACTGAGCCAGAATGAAAATGCTGTCTAAATATATTATAAGACGTGAGCTTGGTGAAGCACCATGGAGCCGAAGACAGTCCAAATGGGAGGCACCTGAACCTCTATTTACTGCCCTACCATGTAAATTGCAGGAAGTTCTCGATGTTGTACTGCGATAGGCACTGTGAGATATGCATTGCAGATCCAATTTGGCCATCCAATCTGCTGGTTGGAGAAGATACCTTAAACAATGCCCTCCTTCCATCTTGGAAGTTATGATATGCTCATAACTATTGAGCTGTCTCATATTTATCACTGGACGGATACCTATGCCTTTTTTGGGAAACAAGAAAAGGTTGCTCACTTAACCCAGGGTATGGGCCAGAATCTCTACGATTGATTGTCCACGGAGACAAGGTCTGTGTCTCATTGGGAAAAAACTATTTCCCTCGATGGGGAACATTGAACAGTTAGAGAAAGGAAGTCTATGCAATACCCTTTCACAGTGTGAAGAACCTAAGCATCTGATGAAATGAGGGACCATACATGGGAAAAATGTGTGAGCCTGCCACCCACTATCAGTGAGGAAGAATGGAAATTGTGAAGACTTCTTAGGAGCACCTCTTAGGCCACTAACAACCCAGGGTCGACCACTGTGTGGGAAGGAGGTTGGTATAGTGCATTGTTCAAAGAAATCGGCTCGGCAAGTATAAGAGCCTTGGTTCTGTCTAAGAGAACTTCTGTTTGTTTAGCCGGACAAAGGAGCCCAATTCTTTTACAAAGTTGTCCCCAAAGAGAAAACCTTTGCCTGTGTTATCTGGCTCGTTCAGAGCCATAGTTAAACGTTTGTGCTTTTATTTTAAGCAAGATCGATTAGTGGCATTCTGTGACAACTGCATTGTTGGCGTTGCCAACTTAAATCACTCTCTGGATCTAACCACTTAAGATGGCGCAATCTAATTCTAGATCATCCTCTACTGCTTCAAAGATCTTGGCTGCTGAGTCCAAGATGCCCAGTATTTTATCCTGACAGTTTTGCAATGAAAATCTAAGCCTTTAGTGGGCTTCCATCCTGTCTTACTCGGGAATTGAATGATGTTAGGATCGTCTGATAGCGTGTTACATGAGTCATCAGGGACTGTTCGGCGTGGCCATTCAGCCCGCAATTTATTTCACTTTGCCTTCTCAAAAGGCTTGCGTACTCTGGATGCAATATACTTGGCTACATGGTCTGAGGAGACCACTGAGTGACATAGGTCGTCAGATTTGAATAGCGGTTCACATTGAGTGTCCAAGATCCTATCAGTGTCCCTGAGTCTGCATAATCTACCTAAATCTTGGTAGGTTTAACAGGACGTGTATCCCAAACGGCAAAATTTCATAATCAGAATCAGAAATATCCTCTGAATCCTCCATATAGGACTCAGGGAACTCCTCCTCAATATCACTGAGCTCAGATTCAGAGTTCAGTTGGGCATTTGCCCTTTTCCAAAGTCTAGTCGATTTTGCCCGACTAGTAGCTCTTTTGCGCGGTGGTAAATTAATCGCGCCATCCGTGACAGGTATGGTATTGTCCATCTCTATTGTTTTGGAGGAGTGTTTAGCCTTATATGAGGCTTTGCAGCCAGGCTGAAGCAGAGCAGGTGTGAGTACAAGTACACCTCCATATAGTATTCAGGGAACCCCTCCTCAATATCCCTGAGCTCAGATTCAGAGTTCAATTGGGCTTTTGCCCTTTGTCAAAGTCTAGTCGATTTTGCCCGACTAGTAGCTCTTTTGCGCGGTGGTAAATTAATCGCGCCATCCGTGACAATTATGGTACTGTCCAGCTCTATTGTTTTGGAGGAGTGTTTAGCCTTATATGAGGCCTTGCTGCCAGACTGAAGCAGAGCAAGTGTGAGTACAGGTATACCTCCATATAGAACTCGGGAAACTCCTCCTCAATATTACTGAGCTCGGATTTAGAGTTCAATTGGTCTTTTGCCCTTTGTCAAAGTCTAGTCAATTTTGCCCGACTAGTAGCTCTTTTGCGCGGTGGTAAATTAATCGCGCCATCCGTGACAGGTATGGTACTGTCCATCTCTATTGTTTTGGAGGAGTGTTTAGCCTTATATGAGACCTTGTGGCCTGACACCAGGGCCTTGTCATTGCTTTTGCCATGGAAGTGTCAATTAAAGCCTGCATGTCAGCAGGATCAGTAAAGCAGAAATTCAGCCTCATCTCCAGAGATACCTGGAGAGGCTTCTACATTAATCTGCATGTTTGCTGTAGACCCAGAAGGCACAGAAAGATCCTGTCAGACTGCATCATAAATATACAAACAAACCTAAAGGGATGAATAACGTAAAATAATACAAAAAGGAAAGGGTTGAGTAACCCTCAAGTAAAAAATAAATAACTAAACAGGATAAAGAAATGAAAGTACTCACAATAGTGAAAAAATAGCAATTGTAATATAAAAACAAAGGAGCTACCCGGCTGCCACTATAACTAAACCCCAACTTGGATTTCTGGCAGTTGGTGGCAGAGCAGCAGCCAGACAGATGAATGAATGGAAAAAACAGCACATTGGGACTATTCAGGGGATAAATATCCTCAAAGAGGCCCCTGAGCCCCAATTGATGGTAATCTTGGGGACAGGGAGGTCAGAGGGGAAATAAATTATCAAAGGATATACAATAAAGCATATCACTGAAGCAAATGAAGTAAATAAATCAAATTAAGTTAAAATGTATTGACTAAATATATTTATAAACATGAAAATATAATTAAAATGTAATAACTATAATAACTATATTAAGCACAGTAATGATATGAATAAAGTAAAGTAAAAGATCCCACAGTTAAGAACCATGGTACCCAGTGTCACTTTACTGAGGTAGCAGCAAAGAAAGAGGAAGTAGTATACTGGACACTGCCTATTATGCTATAAAGAGGATGCTGATTGGCTGTTCCTGTTGCTAGGAAGATATACCTCATGTTATTTACTGGTTTCTTCTATACTGATTTAATGTTATTTTTCTTTGCTGCTGAGGTAAATAAAGAAAGAGTGCAGCATAATAGGAGCCTCCGTGTCTTAATAAAATCTTGTTTCTGTGCTAACACATACCAAGCGAGGTCTTTATCGTTACTTGTCTTATACCTGCATCTATTTTTACTCATGTGACTTCTATATAGACAAACACAATTAGCCTGTGTATTAAAATACTTAAAAACGGTGCCACTTTCTCATGCCATGTATATGCTCTACATTGTTATCACTGTTTGCTTATGCAGTCGTGGCATCGTGAACCTCTGTATTATTTTGTGCACAGAAAAAATAAAGAATTAAAAAAGAAAATTACTCTACTAGAAACCAGACAAAGCACAACTGAAGACGAACTATACCAACTACAATCAACAATAAGAAGACAAAATGATACCTTAACATACAGGATAAATTAGATGAACTTGAGAACCGGGGTAGGAGAAACAATCCAAGATTTGTAAGCTTCATTGAATCTTTGAGCTTGGCTGACATTCTCTCTACTCTTTAAAGCTTGCTACAAGATATTTAAAGCTGAGCACCTCTACTCCTATTGTTATTGAACGGGCATACAGATTAGGCTCTGAACGGCCCGGTGACACCACCAAGTCACAACCAATAATAGGAAAATTCCTAAACTTTAATGACACTGTTCACATCCTTACAGCTTATCAACAACTTCCCCAACTTACCTATCAAAACAAAAGAATACTCCTTTTCAAGGATTACTCTGCACAAGTTACACAGAAGAAAAGAGCCTTCACGCCCAGCTGCTCAGAGTTACACAGGACAGGCATAAGATTTGCTTTGTTGTACACATAGCAAATCACACTTTGTCTTGCTCTTCAGCATCAGAGGCCATCACCTCTCTCTGGAATGTTCTCCCATATTGGGGGGCACCATCACCAGGCCCTTCAGCCAGATCCTTGCCACACAAGGAGGAGAGAAAAACCTCCTCAACCTCATGCTTCTTGGTTCATCTACCTGTATATAGTTCGGGCCATTTGGCATTCTAATCACTAGGTTACGTCAGACTCCTTGCTTGCCGCTAACTCTGGGATTTTCCATCCACTTGAGCTGGGACGGACGGAGTCCCCTGCCATGCTACCAATCTCTGTTTTACCACTTCCTTGCCGAGGTATCGGCTAACTTATCAATGTCTTCTGCTCCAAGGACAATCTCTACTTCCTCCATCAAATTCTTATCCTGGAATGTTGAAGCAGCCTACCGTCCCCTCCACATACTAGACACTGGCGCTTCCCTGCAAATCTCACGTGTCAGCCATCATTCCAGACTCACAGACTCACTGGGCGAACTTCCTAGATGACAGTCTAGAACATACAGAAGAGACAAAATTACTCTTGGAGACGTCCAGGGCTGGACTGGGAATACAAAGCAGCCCTGGAAAAAAATCTATCCCAGCCCCATAAGTCATTGCACCATGTATTGTCACATGTAATATGTAAGGCTATTGTAACGGAGCTCCCTGTACCCCAACTGGGTGCCTCCACCAAGGACTGCTTCCTAGCTGGAACAGGGGACAAACCAAAGCACGTCTGCCCACAGTCACCGTGGCTTGACTGGGGTCCTGGAGTGCAAGATGGAATACCTTTATTGGCAGCCACAACTGGCTTTATATGCAGGGCCCCATGCAAGGGGCACTTCCATCTGGACCTGAGAGTAGACTACAGTAAAAACATACACACGATTACATTGGCTCTCAGGTCCAGGACACTCCCATACAAAACAAAATAATTACTCCCCTGTGCCTGGAAGATAATTGAGTCAAGCACTGTATTAAACTCAATTATCTCCAAGCACAAAAAAAACACACATTTCCTAAACACCCCAAAAGTACCTTAAAAATACATAAAACCCCACAAAAGTTACATCCCCTGATAGTTCTGATCTGGGTAACCAACATATCCAAAAATCACCCAGATCAGTTCAGGGGTTCAGGAATTTCCTGGAAGTCATAATTTGACCGAACGCACAGATGGTCCCCTAGCCGAAAATAGTTCCATAGAATCGCGGCTAAGTGCTGCTGGGGACCACCGGGAACCACAAAGTCTTCATGCCGAAAATAGTTCCATGGAATCGCAGCTAAGTGCCGCTGGGGACCGACTGGGAACCCAGAAGTATTCATGACGAAAATAGTTCCAGGGCTCTCGCGGATAAGTCCCCCTAAAGTCTATTCGCGGTTTTGGTCCATGCGAATAGCCGCTAGGGAGCTAGCGTTCGGTTCTATGCATATGAATGGAAAGTACTGAAAACCAGGGAAACCAAGGGGAATAAAATATGGGTCTTTACAGTCGCTGACCTGGCCCATAGTCGGTGGGCAGTAGGATGGCAAGCAGGCTCCTCCAGGAGCTCGGGGCAAACTCACAAGGACAGGGGAGGTTGCCACAGCTATGTCTTGCCAACCTAGATTATTATTATTATTGCCATTTATATAGCACCAACAGAGTCCGTAGCACTTTACATGAATGAGTAATATATATATATATATATATATATGTGTGTTTGTGTGTGTGTATATATATATATATATATATATATATATATATATAGTCATCTGGGGTGGCAAGACATAGCCTTACATATTATTGGTTGTCTGTGTGTGTGTGTATTGTGTGTGTATATGAGTATATATATATATATATATATATATATATTATTATTATTTTTTTTTTTTACCCCATGTCAGGTTATACCTGCCGGGTTTCGCCAAATTAAGCCACTTCCGGGTTGACGGAGCTTTGCCCCGCCCCTTCTCTGACGTGGTCTTCCCATGATTCAAAGCGCTGGATTATTGAAGTTCCTGTGAATCTCTTACCGGCTACCCGATTACATTATAAGCTCTTCCGTGTACCGAACCCGCTCTGAAAACGACTACCCGCCTTCTCCACTCCTCGACCTCGGACTGTTTAATGGACTTCTACTCTTACTCCTAAAAGACTGCTTAAATTGATCTCCCCAGTTCTCTGGAACTACTGCTATTGAAGCTAAGTACATTTTTCCTGCAATCAAATTACCTCTCAGTTGCAATTAGAAGCTGCCTCATTGTTAAACACTCTTAAAGCTATTTCTTCTGCATCTAATTCAACTCTAAATCTGCATACAAACTCTGGTAGCTATTTTTGCTGCATTTAATTCAACTCTAATTCTGCATACAAACTCTGCACTATTCTTAATTGGAACTGTTTGACTTAATGCAAAACTTCAGTGGCTTATTTTTTTCTGCAACTAATAACCTGCCATAAGAGTTTAAAGCTACAGTAACCAAAGCTTACAATTCAATAAAAGAATAAAAATTTATAAATTGTAGTATTTAAAGTTCTACAGTTGCGTTCCAGTCGATTAGCATTACACCCCAGAATAAAACATTTAATTATACAGTAAGCATACTCCCATGCAGACACAGACAATCTCACCAACACACACAAGTTCATTGATACACAGCCTCATAGACAAACAATCTCACTGATATACATAAACTCATGGACATAAAAACATGACCTCACAGATGCACACAAATAGGCTTTCTGACAGACAATCTCACTGACAAGCTTATTGGTATACACACACACAAACATAGTACAGACAAACTCTGACATGGACAAGCTTACTATAGACATGCTCACTGACACACACATGCTCATTACAGACAAGCTCACACACACACATGCTCACCACAGACAAGCTCACTGACACACACATGCTCCCTACAGAAAAGCTTGTTGACACATGTATACTCCATGCAGAAAAGCTCACTGACACAAACATGCTCACTAAAGAAAAGCTCACTGGCGCACACATGTTCCCTACAGAAAAGCTCACTGACACACACATGCTCACCACAGACAAGCTCACTGACACACACATGCTCCCAACAGAAAAGCTCACTGACACACACACATGTTCACTACTGCCAAGCTTACTGAAACACACACATGCATCCAACAGACAAGCTTACTGACACACACATACGCTCACTACAGACAAGCTCACTAACACACAAGCTCACTCACTAGCAGGCACACACACACAAGCTCACTCACTAGCAGACACACACACACAAGCTTACTCACTAGCAGGCACACACACACACAAGCTCACTCACTAGAAGGCAGACACACACACACACACACAGACACAAGCTCACTCACTAGCAGGCACACACACACAAACTCACTCACTAGCAGACACACACAACCTCACTCACTAGCAGGCACACACACACACAAGCTCACTAGTTGGCACACACAAACTCACTCACTAGCAGACACACACATACACACACAACCTCACTCATTAGAAGGCACACACACAATCACTGTCATGGCTGAAGCTTACCTGGCACTGGCAGGTGAGGTTGCCATTTTATGGCCTCTTCTATCCAGTGAGGTCAGCAACGTGCGTGGGGCGGTGCTTGCATGCAGGAGGCAGAGCTTCCATCCGGAGACAGGGCTTACATGTGTGATGGGGCATGCGGACGAAATTGATGTAAATTTTGAATGGAGACTGACAGGTCTCCCTCTGGCCGCGGGCAGCCTAATCGCAGCCGCACCAGCCCCCAGCTCCTCCCTCTTTACTACCCTCGAAATAAGACAGACTGGAACAGTTCAAGGGGAAAAATCATTTAAATTACATTAGCCTGATGATCAGGGCTGTCAGCCCGGCCCCAGGTGCAGTGGCCCACCAGGAAATTTCCCGGTATCCCGGTGGGCCAGTCTGGAGACGTCCAAGGCAGTCATGAGAGTACAGATAATTTCCTATACTTCATCTGCTAAGAAAAAATGTCGGAAGGACTATGTGGTACAATCTCATACAAGGTATTTGGCTAATCCATCTGACGAAAACAAACAAACTTACCTTGACGCTAAATCCACTCTAAACACTTACATAACTAACTATGCGCAATCAAAATTAGACTTTCAGACACAGCACTTTTTCAGTTGGGGGAGAAGGTCTGGGAAGTTGTTGGCCCATATGGCCAACCCTAAAACTGGGTTCAAACCAAAACGTCATTCAACTCGCCCGAAGGAGTCCGGTTTACTTCTTAAAATGAACAAAGTCTTCCACAACTACTTAAAAAAATTATCGATAGCCCCGACTGACCAGGGTATGTCTTTCCTAAAAAATCGGAACCTACCTCACTTAGACGGGGACTCGAGGGAAACTCCTTAGCGACCCTATCACTGAAAAAGAAATCCATATGGACATATGGTTTTCTGCCCTGGCGGGACTTAAAGTTAACTGGACTAAATCCAGTGCGCAATATCTGGGGAAGGGGCCATCCCCTAAGTTGTCTGGGAGTTTGTGACAAACTCCCCTTTTTACATGAGTTTGCCACGAGCTCCTGGAGGAGCCTGCTTGCCAGCCTCCTGCCCACAGACTATGGGCCTTGTGAAATATAATGTTAACAAGACTCTGTTCCAGCGGCAGTATGCATTACAGGGAGAGGCGCATATCGTCCTCTCTCCCCAGCAGCAGATAGAGTTGCAGGGAGTGGAGACGGTCGGTCTCCCTCCCCAGCCGCAGTGTGCAACACAGGGAGTGGAGACAGTCGGTATCACTCCCCAGAAGCCGAGTATGTTATAGGGAGTGGAGACAATGGTTCCTACTCCCCAACGCAGGGCGAGTTATTGGGAGTGGAGACGGTCAGTCTCACTCCCCAGCAGCAGTGTATGTTACAGGGTGAGGAACACCTTGGGAGGGTCAATCAGTCAGTCCTCCTCCCCAACCACAGAGAAAGATACAAGGAGTGGAAACGGTTGGTCCCACCCCCCATCAGCTGGAGCTGTCACCCAAGACAAGCCCCCTGGCATGGATGGTGCACCAGCCCTACAGGGATGCTGGGCAGCCCGGCACGATCCCCAACTGTGGAATCCCGGCCAAGATGAAGAGGTCAGCAGCCGCTCCTCTGACATCTTCTCAACGGAAGAGCTGGCACCCGGGCAGAACTCAGTTGGCCTCTGCCTGTCCCTTTCCCTTTATCCAGAGCCTGAGGTTACACAGGCTACAGGGCCTCTGCCCATTGAGCACAGAGGGCTTTGTAGGTGAGGTCCAGGGAGAGGAAAGTGTCTCTCCCCAGCGGCAAGAGTTACCCCCTAGAGAGGGGAATTACGCACTCCATCCCCAGCGAGTACTTGGTCCAACCTGGGGGAAGTGCATCCAGATTGTTTCTCGGCAGGACATTGGATGTACAAATGGGCACTTGTGGCAGGAGGCCGTCTGGACAACAACGCCTTTTGGGAAAGGCCTCCAGACTGTCACAGACCCAGACCGATTGAAGGTCTGGGGTCTGGATAGTCTCCACGGGAGGGGGAAGATATGTGACAAACTCCCCTTTTTATGTGAGTTTGCCACGTGCTCCAGGAGGAGCTTGTTTTAAAACTGAAAAATTACAGTAGTAACTCATTCACAGGTATTTGTAAGACTTGGTTGGAATACAGGTTTTCTTGCTGCTAGCAAACATGTTATCTATATATTTATAATACAACATACAGTAAATACAGTTGGTGTGAAACCATGCATACATATAGTATACTGCATACATATAACATGTTTCAGACTGATATTAACATTTGCACATGTTCTTTGATTTCTTAGGATAGATCTTCCTCTCTTCTGTGCAGCCCATTGGCACTGTACACAGAACGTACCCAGCTCTTGTATATGCAGACAGGGAAGGAGGTGTGACATTACATACATTCTCTGCAGCAGGCAGAAAGACCGTCTACTGCAACATGGAACAGCCTTATTCATTAACAAGATAGCGGGGGGCATTAGAGGGGTTGAGGGGTATTTTGATTCCTTTATTCTTTATAAATGTAAAACGACCAGTAATGCTCTGTACAAATAGTGTGGGATTCAAGGAGTTAATCATTTAAACCAGGGAATTGGATATCCTCATTTTAGTAGGTAATACTTAATTTAGAATACCATAATTGGAACCTGTCTTTATACTCAGGCCAGATTTTCATTATCGTCAAGATATATATTTTTTTTATTCTTAAGATGTGCAAAGCATGTTCGGAATAATATATTGTAACTGTAATGATATGCACTATTAAAATATTTCCCCCTTCCCAAGCATATTTTCTTCCTATTGACAGCAAAAAATAATCTTTTAATACATATTTTTTTGTTTAGGTTAGTGACGCAAAAGAAGCAATAGATCAACTAGAAAAACAGTTGGGATTTACATTAAAAAACTTTGTCCCCAATACTCAACCTGTGAGACGAACAATGGAAATTCCAAGAGATTCTTTGCAGAAGTATTTGGAGGATCTTTTTGGAAAAACCTCAGGTATGTCCCATTCTAGTTTTTGTCTCATATTCCAGCATCAGATGTCACTAGGAAACAGACTTGAGACATTTTCAAGAACCAGCCTGGCACTTATTCACATTTGAACATACTCTAGACTATACGCTTGATTTAGCAGGGTCCTTAACAACCTATTGTTTCTGTAACATATTGTAATTGTCTCATTTATTGTTAAATTTACCCCTTTTATAATATTGTAAGCGCTGCAGAATACGTTGATGCTATATAAATACCAAAAATAAAATAATTATAAGAGATGAGGAGCATATGAGACCTCTGAATTGGAATCATTGTTGACAGGCAAAAGTGGGCTGACTATGACATTGATGGTGGAATACAATGAAGTCGTGCAGCGCATTCTTTTGAGGCATGTTAAATATACAGGAAAACAAGCAGATTGTTCATCGTAATGTCATCTGTCTGTGAATAGATGGATGCCAGGCTACACCTAACACTGTTGTCCTTTGTTTTCCTATAAAATGTATAGTCCACATTTAAGAAGACTACTTTATATGAGTTAAAACAATAAAATAGCAAATAGCTGAGAGATATACCGTGGTATAGATTTGTCACTAATACGTAATAATTTCAATATTAAAGGGACACTATAGTCACCTGAACAACTTTAGCTTAATGAAGCAGTTTTGGTGTATAGAATATGCCCCTGCAGCCTCACTGCTCAATCCTCTGCCATTTAGGAGTTAAATCCCTTTGTTTATGAACCCTAATCACACCTCCCTGCATGTGACTTGCATAGCCTTCCATAAACACTTCCTGTAAAGAGAGCCCTATTTAGGCTTTCTTTATTGCAAGTTCTGTTTAATTAAGATTTTCTTATCCCCTGCTATGTTAATAGCTTGCTAGACCCTGCAAGAGCCTCCTGTATGTGATTAAAGTTCAATTTAGAGATTGAGATACAATTATTTAAGGTAAATTACATCTGTTTGAAAGTGAAACCAGTTTTTTTTTTTCATGCAGGCTCTGTCAATCATAGCCAGGGGAGGTGTGGCTAGGGCTGCATAAACAGAAACAAAGTGATTTAACTCCTAAATGACAGTGAATTGAGCAGTGAAATTGCAGGGGAATGATCTATACACTAAAACTGCTTTATTTAGCTAAAGTAATTTAGATGACTATAGTGTTCCTTTAAGTATTAAAACAAGAATTCAGCATATTGATTTAGTTGAATTCATAGTGGGATATTGAGAAGTTCAATAAGGATCATTGAATTTAACTCTGACATAAAAAGCTCATCTGAAGGTATATAATATGTCCATATAAACATTTCCAGACGCCCTAATTCTTCGTCAGTTCAGTCATGGACAATCCAATCCTACTTACTACGTGCAATTTAATGAAAAGCAGTTAGTGCTGCGCAAGAAACCACCAGGAAAACTGCTTCCGGCAGCTCACGCTGTGGAGAGAGAATACAGGTATGTGACGTATTTGTATAAAATAACAATATAACAGTCAATCCAGGGAACAATAAATGACTTCTATTGACACCTTCCATTGGGGATAAAACTGAATTGTAGTGGCTGAAGCTACAAGATGTCAATGTGTTGACTCTTGATAAACTGAAATAATAGGACTTTACCATGTAACAAGTATAGAAATCAAGAAACCTCATACCAACTGAAGGATTTCTGCACTTTGCCATGTTTGATATCATGAGATGAGTTTCTAACGAGGAGCTTTTGTTTTGGAGAAAATTTGGCTAATTTAATTAATTGGAAGAGACTCCCATTATGCTAGGAAACATTATTGGTTTTAATATACCGTGTTAAAAAAAATCTTTAAAATGGTAGGCAAAATGAAAGACAGTTTTATTAAGAACAAATTAATGTATTTTTTCAGGATTATGAAAGCACTTGGCGAAGCTGGAATTCCTGTACCTAAGGTGATCAGTCTTTGTGAAGACTCCAGGTAAGACCACTCCCCACCATAACTTTATGCAGTACATGTGTCAAATTATAGCCTTCTAAGAAACAGTCTTAATATCCATTGTTTGGATATGTCCATGCATTTTTTCTGTGTTCCCATTAGCATAATCGGCACTCCATTTTACCTCATGGAATATTCCTCTGGGCGTATCTTTAAAGACCCAGCCCTACCAGGAATGGAAGCAAGAGAACGAAGAGCCATTTATACAGCAATGAACCAAGTGCTGTGTAAGATTCACAGTGTGGACATCAAGGCAGCTGGACTAGAGGATTATGGGAAACATGGTAACTGCTGCAATTTTTCTTTGACTATAGACATACTATAAAAATAAAATTATAACAAACTGTAAATATGACATTTATTAAATATTTTTAATAGTATTCTCCTAAAATGTACTTTTTGGTGTCTTTACAAAATCTAATTCTAATGTACTACGTAGTGTCTCCTCAATATATTTATTATTTTGGCCTGTCCATGAAATTACAACATAATAAACCCCTTGCTGTTTTTGTTAATTAGATGCTTACATTAAGCGGCAAGTGCAAATATGGACCAAGCAGTATAGATCTAGTGAGACTCAACGTATTCCTGACATGGAAAAGCTTATTGAATGGCTTCCCCAACATCTTCCGAAGGACCAGAAGACTTCTGTTGTACATGGAGATTTTAGGTAATGCTAAAGAGTAGGAATTTGAAGAAGCAGGTCTGAATCTAATCCTTCAGTATTAACACATTCTTAGTTAATTTAAAAATGTAAAGTTGTTTGCAATCCTTTCCCTCCCACTTCACTCTCGGACACATTCGTATTCCTTTCACCTTCAGAACCTTTTTTAATATTTTCCCTTTTTCATTCATTATTCCTTCTTTTATTTCTTTCATTGGACATTTTGCTTAAATAGATTTTCTCTTGGACATTGTTTTGTGGGGTTCTTTTGAGCAAGTATCATTACATTTTGTTCTACATTCTGCAATTGCTGTCACTCTTCTAATCCATGTACAAAACCCTAAGCTCAACCTCTTCCAGCTTATAGTGTTCTCTCCACCCATTGGAGCATGGATCCATATTTTTATATTTACAGGCTCTATAAAGTAATATATATATTTATATAATGCTTTTGCTTAAGTAAATATAGAAAACCACAGGGCACAGTGAGTTTTGAGGTTAAGTGTATGTCATACGGTACACTCACATATTATCTTAATATTAATGGAATCTAGATTGGATAACTTGATTTTTCATCCTGACAAACTGGAAGTGATTGGTGTTTTGGACTGGGAATTGTCTACACTGGGAGATCCAATGTCAGATGTGGCTTACAACTGCATGGCTCACTACCTGCCACCAGACCTACCTATCCAAAAAGGTATGTGCGACATAAGGACACTTTTTTATGAGCGTTGGTTAATTATTTCCCTACATATCAATTATTTCTGAGCGATATACTTTTATTAAAGTTTGCATCGTTCAAGCTGGACAGTAATAGCAAACTGAGCCCATGATATATATAATTATATAATTGTAGCCGACTTGAGTCTAGGTGGGCCATGTTTTCACAAAGGAAGGATTCAGACTATTTTGACACATTACACTGCACATATGGACCACAGTGACTATAGAAATAAAAATATGGTTTGACACTAATTTAAACACACTGCAATAAGTGAAGTTTAAAAAGTAGACTTCTTTGTCAGGAAGTATGTGTATAGTCAGTATGAGACACAGCTGGTTAGGGCTGCTTAAACAAACAAAAGTTAACTCCTACATGGGAGAATAGAGCAGTGAGACTGCAGGGGCATGATTTATACACCCAAACTGCTTTATTAAGTTAAAGTTTTTGTTTGTGGTTAGAGTATTCCTTTAAATGCATTGCACATCCTAAGTATTTCAGTGTCTTGATTTGAGATTAAACTTTCTTTCACATTTGCATCATCTGAATGAATTTCCTTATTATCTCCCCAAATATATTTTTTCTCCATCATCTTTCTCCTCTCCGAGCCTCTTTTATTCCTCTTTAATCTGTAAAATATATATTACTATGCATTGTTATTGTACTATTCTGTGTAATTATATTATGCTATCTTATATTCACTTTGATTTTTCAGGACTAAATCACTGTGACTTGTCAGAGCTGGGAATTCCCACGGCAGAGGAATATTTTGAACAGTACTGTAATAACATGGGAATACCTAAGATCTCAAACTGGAATTTCTACATGGCCTTCTCCTTTTTCAGAATCGCTGCAATCTTGCAAGGCGTATACAAACGATCACTCACAGGTAGTAGATATAGGTGTAAATTTACATTAGCAAAGAGTCAAAACGATTTTGCAGGAGTCTGCTGTACTGGCCTCACCTCTGCTGTTTTTAGCTCCTATAGTTATCCTCCAGTTTTGAAAGAACTTGTAGTTTGCAGAATCAGTGGTTGCGTCTATCTGGTGGTGATGATGGTGTTGTGTAATCAGACTGTTTATAATTTAAATAGTATCGTTCAGAATAGAGTGTGTTTGTTTGCTCATTTTATTTACTATAAACACCACATTACTGTTTACTGTGTTCCTAACAAAGTAAATGTTTCAGAAGTTATTAAACCTGAATTTATGTTCAACTCTTCCAGGGCAGGCTAGTTCTGCAAATGCAGATGCTGGAGGAAAACTGGCAACATTCATGGCCAACACTGCATGGGATTTTGCTACAAAGGAAGGCTTTAGGGTTTTTAAGTCTATTCCTGGAGCAAATTCTGAAACCTCGGGGAAACGACCTTACAGCACTTGGAGTAAAAGCCTTAAATTTAGACAGACACAAAACAATGCATTTGTCACTTCGTCTGATGCTTCGTTACATGCTGCTTCAAGAGGTATTTTAATAATCTCTCCTGATGGACTTTCTGGGGAAGCTCAAAACCTCTACTATAAATTGAAGGAGTTTATAGAAGTTTTTATTTACCCTGCTGAGCAAGAATTTAGAAATTATCAGTTCTCAGAGAAGAGATGGACACCCCACCCTCTAATAGAGGAACTTAAGGTATAAGGCACAAGGTGCTACTTGATTATAACATACAAGAACGAAATTATTTAATTGTTTTTCCTAAAAATCTAAAATCTTTTGTTGTGGACTGTATGTATTTATGAAATTTCATTCATCCTAGAACTGCGCTATTATATTTTTAACTTGTTATTTATTCCTCAAGCCAAGCCTCTTCATTTGGTAAAAAATATTTGGTCTACTTACTTTCCCTCCTCCTAACACACACATTTTTACATTAAGCCAGACTTTTATATGTTCTCTCTTCCCTGACATTAAAAAAAAAAAAAAACAAGAACTATGGCTTTAATAACACAAAACATGTTATTTGCCCCTTTACAGCATTGCCCCATACAGTGTCACCAGTTCATGCATTGCATGGGTTGGTTCCCAAAAGACACTTACAAGCAAAATATCCAACTTCTTTCGGGACTCTCTGTGTCATTGGCCTTCTTTTTGATCTTTTGCTAATCACAGCTTTTTATTGAGCACACCCACAATGAGCACATACATGTGGAAAAGGTATGTCAAGTATAGGGGACACGCAGGTCCCGCAAGCAATATCAGTAGTGCAGAGAGTGATCGACAACATTCTTACAAATATATTTCCATCATATCTGCACATCATGGTTTAGCCTCATAAAGTGTGAGACTTAGGGACTAGTGATGCGCCGAACGGTTCGCCGCGAACGGTTCGCCGCGGACTCATCATTGAGTAAACTTTGATCCTGTGCTGTGAGGTACAGGGTCAAAGTTTACTCAATGATGAGTTCGTGGCGAACCATTCGCGAACCATTCGGCGAACCGTTCGGGACATCACTATTAGGGACACAAAAAAACAGCAGTTTACCCATTGTACAAGTTAGTGGATAGGTTGCATGCATGTGAGCTAAAAATAACCTAATAGGAATGACTCACAGGTATATATTATATAATGTGAACAATGTGCATCATTTGGTGTACGGCAAGCATGTCAAACTCAAAGGCTAAGACAGGGCAAATAAACAAGGTTTGCGTTTATGTGGGCCGCAAAAAAACAAAAATGTCAGTTTTCATAGAAACGTAGGTTTATTTAAAAAAGTACAGTATAAAAAAATTGCCTAACTGACACTGGACGTCCTTACGCTTGTAGGACTTCAAAGTAAACAAAAGAGCGAATTTATTTTGAGGAGACGTGCATTTGCATATAACCTACGTTTCAGTCCAACTACCTTGAAATATTAAGAAAAGTTTGGTAATTGGACTGAAATGGTGAATGTATGCCGTTGCACAGCTGTAAAAAACAAATTACGTTATCTTGTTTATTTTGAAGTTCTATAAGTGTGTTCTTCAAACTTGATGATCTCAGCCAATCCAATGCTTTCCAGTGGGAAAGCATTGGGAGGCTATTGTGCATGTTTGGCAAAACACTGCACGGCTAAACAGCATCTCCATGGGGAGCATTCAGCGCCTCCATGCAGACCCAATCTAACACACTGCCTCCTCCCCCATTCTAATACACTGCCCCGAAATCCAATACACTGCCCCCTCCCTCCAACCTTATACACTGCCCCCTTCACCCAATCTAATACATTGCCCCATAATCTAATACACTGCCCCTTGTCTCTCCACTCTAATTGAATAGACTGCCCCCACTCCACTTCAATACACTGCCCCCCCTACCCCTAATATAACAAACTGCCCCCCACCACTCTAATACACTGACCTCCTCCCTCCCTCCAATAAATAAATACACTGGGCCCCTCCCTTCCTCAAATAAAAACACTGCCTCCTCCTTCCTTCAAATACACGGCCCCCCTTCCCAATTTAATACACTGGCCCCCTGAATTCCCCAAATTAATACAGTGCCCCCTCCTTCCCTCAAATTAATACACTGCCCCTTCCCTCCCATTAATATACTGCCCCCCTCCCTACCATTAATACACTGCCCCCCTCCCTCCCAATAATACAGTGCCACCCCTCCCCAGTTTAATACACTGGCCCCTCCCTCCCCCAAGTTAATACACTGTCCCTTCCCTCTCTTAAATTAATACACTGCCCCCAATTTAACACACTCACGCCCCCCCCACCACCACCACTCTAATACACTGGCCCCTCCCTCAAATTAATACACTGGCCCCCTCCCTCAAATTAAAACACTGGCCCACTCCTTTCCTCAAATTAATACCTGGCCCCTCCCTCAAATTAATATACTGCCCCCTTACCTCCCCAGATTAATATACTGGTTCCCTCCCTCAAATTAATGTACTGCCCCCTCCCTCCCCAAATTAATATACTGGCCCCCTTCCGCCCCTCAAATATTTATACTGGCCCTCTCCCTCCCTCAAATTAATTTCCTGGCCCCTCCCTCAAATTAATATACTGCCCCCTTACCTCCCCAGATTAATATACTGGTTCCCTCCCTCAAATTAATGTACTGCCCCCTCCCTCCCCAAATTAATATACTGGCCCCCTTCCGCCCCTCAAATATTTATACTGGCCCTCTCCCTCCCTCAAATTAATTTCCTGGCCCCTCCCTCAAATTAATATACTGCCTCTCTCCCTCCCCAGATTAATATACTGGTCCCCTCCTTCAAATTAATACAGTGCCCCCTCCCTCCTATGAATAGAGTGCCCCTTCCCTCAAATTAATACACTGCCCTTTTTCTCCTACCTTACGATTAGTTGTCCATCCTCCAGCTCCAGCCCTGCTCAAGCAGGCCAGACGCTCCTCTGGCACTGCGAGCAGGAGGGAAGGGGAAGTGGCACAGCCACACTGCCCTCTTGTGGCCGGGAGAGCAAGAATCAGGAAATATTTTTCCTGTCTTGCTGGTCGCAGCCACAGCTGAAAGCGGCCCCAGGGCAGGACACAAAAATATTAATTTTTTTTGCATGTTTGACATGCTTGGTGTACGGAGTATCTGACAGCCACGTGTATGTGAGTATAAAATGGTAGTCAGGAATAAGCGATGTGGGATTTAGGGTGCCAGGAGGGCTTCTCCCATGGAAGGGGACCAAAGGGGGATGGGAGCAGTCCATCACCACTCTCTAAAACCGTCCTCGTCCCCACATCCCTCACTCAACGTAAGCCTACCACGGCCACCAGCATTCCACATGTTTCTCGTCAGTTTCACTCAGGAATGCCTGGACAGACTCCGCCATGTATATCTCCTCTACCCTGTCCATCCATTTTCCCATCCTCGAGGTTGTGTCTTGCTTCCAGTGTAACGGAATCAAGGATATGGCTGCGTCTAATAGAGGTCAATGGATCGGGTTTTTTTTGTATGCTGCGACGGTTGTCGGCGTGGAGTGCAGTAGTACCATCTCCATATCTAGACGTCCTGTGTCGCCAAGAATTTCTTCCACCTTGAGCTTCACTTCCTCCCAGAATGGCACTATGTGCGGGCATTCCCACCATGTATGTGTTACCGTTCCTGGTCCAACTCCGCGTCTCGAGCAGACATTGGGCACGGTTGGGAAAATTCTGTCGGGTGTCCTGTACCAAGGAATTTATAGTTGGATTCCTGATATTTGGAGCTAGGGGAGCACTTGCGGTGAAGTATCAGTATCTTCTCCCATTGAGCATCGTTGAAGGACTTTTACTCTCTAGATATCCCACAAGGAGATGTTGGAATATGCGGGACACTGCTCCGTCCACATTGGTTTTGCCATCACAGAGACCCTCAAACCATGTGAGGCTGTGGTGTATCGCATCCCTATTTGGAAGCTTCTGGTAAAAATATCTGATTTGTGTGTACGACGGTGGATTTCCAGCAGTGGTATCATGCCCGTGTTGTTCAAGAGCTTACGGATTGGAAGAGAGTCGCCGCCACCCAGGAAGTGCCATGTTATAGGTGGTAGGCCACGCCTCATTTTAACATTATGTTGTATCTAAATCCTCGGACTCTGTGTAGCAGATAAATGTGAAGCTCCCCTGATGCTTTCCCAAGCCCTTAACGTTTGTGTCACTGGGAGGTCAATTCTAGATCTGTCTGTGTAGGCTTTTTCGAGTTTCATATTGCTGTAAGAAGGGATGGTCGTAGGTGACCCTTATTGAATTTAACCCATTGTTTGTGAATCAGGTGGATATGCCATTCCAGTATTCTTTGTAGGACAGTGGTGGTATTTACGGAAGTCGGCGAGTGCAAGACCGCCCCAGTCCCATCGGAAGGCATAGTATTTCATGGCGGAGTCTTGCCTGGCCCTCACTCCACACGTACCGTATCATAGAGGATTGTAAAGATGCGCAGTTGGCTGTGGGTAGGGTAAGGGGAAGTGTTTAATATAGATAAAGGAGTCTTGGTAGCTAAGTTTAGGACTGCAATCCTTCCAAACCAGCCAAGATATATGAGGGTAAGACCACTTCTTCAAATCTTGCTGTATGCAGTGTAGAAGAGGTATAAAATTACTTTGGTACAGGTCCTCTGGGTTCCTAATGAGAACTGTTCCTAGATATGTCATGTGGTAAGTGCACCATCTGAATGGAAACTGGTGTTGCAGGGTGTCATTCTCTGCTACTAGGACCGTGATGTTGAGTACCTCACACTTAGACATATTCAGTTTGAATCCAGAGACTTCGCCATTTGTCTCGAACAGGTCCACCAGGGGAGGCAGAGTAGTCCTTGGATCTTTTATGAAGAACAGTGGGTCGTCTGCAAAAGCGTTGGTGTTGGCCTCCAAGTAAAACCTTTAAAATGATCAGACTTCCGAACGGCCTACAAGAATGGCTCCAGGGTTAGTGCGAATAGTATTTGGGATAGTGGGCACACTTGCCTCGTACCATTCCGCCCATTATCTGAAAAGCATGCGTCAGAGCACCATTCACAGGTACTTTGGCGCTGGGGCAACTACAGAGTGCACTTATCCATTTCAGCATGTTACAACCGAATCCCATCTCCCGCAGTATAGCCATAAGGAAGGACCAGTGTTCACCCAGTCAAATGCTTTCTCAGCTTCGGTTTCCCGATCGCCTCGCTAGGTGTTGGGTTGACAGTGCTCGCAGAGTGCTATCCCTAGCCTCCCTACCTGATATAAATCCTGTTTCATCCGGTTGTACGATCCTCGGTAATAGTAGGCCGATCCTATTAGACAAGATCTTAGTGAGCAGTTTGACGTCCACATTGAGCAGAGATATCGGCCTGTAACTGCCACAATTCAGGATACTTGTCCGGTTTTGGGAGGACAGTTATAGTGGCTGCAAGTGACTCAGGGTGAAAGCGATTTTCCGTTATGAAAGCGTTAAGTGCCTGGGTAAGTTAAGGAAGCAAGATGTGCCAAAACTTCTTGAAGTATTCTAGGGTAAAGCCATCTGGCCCTGGGGCTCGCCTGGTTTTAGCGGCCTTGACGCTGCTGCCACTTCATTCTCCTTGATCGGTAAATCCAACGTCTCTGCCTCATCTGGACGGAGTCTTTCAGCAACGAATTTGTCAAGGTAGCGTTTGTGTCTCAGTCTTTCCCCACCTGAATATATGTCCTTTTATTTCACGTGGTCATACACCTCCACTTGTTTTCATTTGCAAGCGGTAGGCAACGCTTAATACCTAATGGGGATTGGTAGAAAATGTCTCTAGTCCATCATTGTTTGCTATCGTCTAAGATCCTCTGTAGATCTATTCTAATTGTTATTCTTTATGGTGCAAAACTCCAGTCTTACTCTTGACTAACTTCCTGACTCCAAATAATAATTCTGTACCTGATCCCATTTTTATTTGGTTTTGATATCTGTGTATTGAGGCCTTTTGGGGCAATGTTTCTGTAAATATATTGATTGAGCAGACTAACATCATCCTTTGCATGCCTCCCCTTCTCCCCTAGTCTCTACTTTTTTAACTTTCTTCTTTTCTAACTTTTTCTCACGGACACTTATTCCTCTTCCTCATTTATTTTCAACCTACCCAGGGTAATTTTAATTCTGGGAGTTTAATGCTGCATTCTTCTTATTTGGCATATGATGTTGATATTGTTTGTTATTTGGAAGATAATGTCTTTATTATTGCTAAAACATCCTCTTGCAATTTTTTTTTCTTCAAATGTGTGATGTAGAGTCTCATGCAAATTTTCAAATCTGCGAAAGCAGAATGTTATTATGAGGTAATTTGACAGTCTATTTAATGTTAATGATGTGTTTGTTATATGACTGTTTATATAACTTTTACAGGAAAAAGCAAAGTCACAAGGATTGTGGAACCTATTCCTGCCTCTAGAAAGTGATCCAGAAAAAAAATATGGTGCTAAGCTAACAAACATGGAATATGCTCATCTCTGTGAACTGATGGGGACGTCCTTGTATGCATCAGAAGTGCGTATAACTAGGGTTTTATGGAACTAGTTTGGGTTAAATTATATTAACAACATATCACAAAGAATTGCTGTTTTGTTATATAATGAATATAATAGGTTTAACATTTTTCTGTTTTCCAATTATAGTAAATGTAAATATGAAATTGTACATGTGAATAGGTTGTTTGGGCACAGGTTGGTTACTTTCATTGGATAAATGTTTTATTTTTTAATAAATTTTTCAGATCTTTAACTGTTCAGCTCCTGATACAGGAAACATGGAGGTGCTGGTCAGATATGGAACAGAGGAGCAGAAGGAAAGGTGGCTGGAACCTCTGCTGGATGGGCAGATCAGGTCTTGTTTTGCTATGACTGAACCAAAGGTAACCTGTTTTCCAAATTAATCAAACTCGAGGGAAAATCCTGTAAAGAAACTTTGTCCCGCAACCCCAATCACATCCACGGAAGGAAGAAAAAAATAAAATTAAAATACTGTGGTCACTTACTTCATACAATGTTTTAGATAGGCTCTAAAGCGGTGTTGGTCTAATCCCAAATGAAAGTTTCACCACCTTACTCCAAAAGGGCCACACTCACTGCCATCCATAATATACAAATGAGATAGTTCATGAATAGTGCATCTTTATTAGTTAAAAAATTGTGACATGGCATGTAAAAAGCAGGCAGACCTCATAAACAACAGAGAATAAAAAGAAATATAATAAGAAATAAACCCCCCAAAAAAACACCAATGCAAAAAATAGAAAGTCAGCCCTGTGGTGGCTGGATGGGGTGAGGGGAAGTAGAAAAGGTTGGTTACCTAAGATGGCTCTGTACGCATTTCACGTCTACCCTGACACTTTATTAAAGGATCACGATAGTGTCAGGAAAACATACCTGTTTTTCTGACACTATAGTGCCCCCACCCTCAGGGTCCCCTTCCCTTGGCGCTGAAGGGGTTAAAGCCCCTTCAGCTACTTACCTTAATCCAGCACCGGGCGCTGGTGACCTCTCCCCACCGCCGACGTCCGTGCCCGAGTGGAGCCGAATGCGCATGCGTGGCAAGTGCCATGCACGCATTCAAACAGTCCATAGGAAAGCATTTCTTAATTCTTTCCTATGGACGTTCTGCACGCTGGATGCGAATCCAGGTCTCTGTTAGTTCTTATCCAGCGTTACAAATAAACCATCATTTTATTGTATTTGGGAACCTAAATAACTTTTTATAATTTTTCCTATAAATGTGTATAGAGTGTAGTTGTTTTTTTGCCATTGTCAGTGGATTTCCCATTCCTTGTTAAAAGTATAGACTTGGAAAACACCAGACAAGTAAGGACACTGAACTCCTAAAGACACATGCCAGAATCATAACGATATAATGGAATCTTCTTAAACCCTTTTCACAAATGAAATAAATAGCTACGCCTTATTGCGTGAAGCAAACTGACATTACTTAATTGAACTAGAGAATGCTCTATTGTATCATGGTTTGTAGATCAGCTTGTTGGAAACCACTTCTCCAGGACTCCACCAGGGAAAATGGAGCCACCAACATGGCTGATTATTTATTAATAAATATATAATAATACATAGACGAATATCAAATATTTGTTATTCTTTTCTCAGTCATTCTATTACAACACTTCCTAGTTGACCAACAAGTTATATATTATATGACATTTAGAGATTGTGGACAATTTTCCACAAAGTTGGAATCCTGAAATAAATAAAATTTAAAAACCCATAAGAAATAGTTGATTTTCAAATGGTGTCGTCCATTTTTCTCTTCAGTTATAATTGGCGTACGGACCTATGCTTTCCATACGTTTCTGATGTTCTAGGTTTGCCCACTATTGTATAAAACTGCCAATCACTTCCAATGGTGAAGGCAGAATACACAATTACAGGATTCAGATTAACCTTACTAGTTTGACACAGAAGAAGACTCTAAAAGTGTCAACTTCCAAGAGATGTTCATCTCATCCCACTGATGGCATAGTACCACACCTTTCTCAAGTACTACTATTAGTGAACAATTCAAACTTTTTAGTTGAGATCTTCTTGCAGGCAAATATATTCTTACATCTCCCAGCTCTCCTCCATGCATTCCACTTCTTCAATCTCGGTTATAAAAGTTCTCTCTTATTTCCACACAATCCACATATTCAGAAGACTTTAGCTAATATTAAGTGTAGTGTAAGTAGATATGTTTTATGGCTATCTGCTTAGTACGCATTGACATTCTATATTGGGATTAGGAAAAAGCAACTGTCACTATCAGCCATTCTGTTTAACTCATGTGGGTCCATTAGTGTGAGCTTGTCACAAGGTATAGCCTAATGCATGTGCACTCTAATCAAGGTTTCGATCGCCAGCACTGCTTCGATTTCAGTCACTCTCTGACCTACGTGCCAATTCAAAATAGCTTGTTAGAACAAACAGTAGATAAGCCGCGCCTAAAATGAGGTAAACTTTAAGTGCACTCACACAGCAAAAACCTATACATACATGTATTAGAATTGTTTTTTTTATGTTTGTGTAATGTCAGATATCTCAGAAAGAAAGGGAGAACAAAACAGAAAAAAGTAGTATAAGTTGCCTTTAAAATTAACTAAAATACTAAATATTTTAGTTACTTTTAAAGACATATTACACTATTTTTGTTTGTTTTTATGCAGTTGTACATAAGCAGAAATATTACATGCATGCTTGATGTTATGTAATTTGTGTTTTACATCCAGGTTGCTTCATCAGATGCTACAAACATTGAATCGTCAATCAAAGAAGAAAAAGACCATTACATATTAAATGGCCATAAATGGTGGACATCAGGTAGGAATCTTAAAGCCAATACCCAATGTTGATGTCAAATCAAATTATAGCCCATACAGAATATACACTTTATGAGTTATCAGTCAAACTTCAAGAGATACAATTAGGCCAATTCTGGCAACATGTGTATACTCTGACCCAAATAATGAATAAACCAAAAGTGAAAAACAAATAATTTTAAAAAAGCACTCGCTATTATGTGCTCTTTTAAACTATTGCATTTATTTATTCATGTATTTATTTATTTCACAAATGTATTTTAGCATTGGTTCTGTTTTTTTTTTTTTAACAAGATCTGCATTGTGCCTCAATAGTATTACAGAAACAATGTAGTCTGTTTTGGTTTTTTTGGAAACTAATGTATTTTAACTTTTTTCTTTTTTAGAACAACATTAGTGAAAAGTTGTTAAAGGAACACTCCAAACACCATAAACAGAGTTAAGCCCTGTGCTGGGCTCAGAATGTCAGCTGACCACTCTCAGCCAATGAGCTAAGCTCCTTTAATACAACAAAAAGATATAGCAGACATATTCTCTCTAAATCTGATAATAAACTACATTGGCAATTAACTTGCAAGTTCACCACACAAGAATATCAGCTGACCACTCTTAGCCAATGAGCTAAGCTCCTTTTAATATAAAAAAGCTATAGCATACATATTCTCTCTAAATCTGATAGCAAACTACTTTGACAGTTAACGTGTAAGTTAAGCAATATTTTATGTGGGCATGTGTATAAATATCACATTCCATCCAATCTCTCCCATTGGTTACAGGTCATTTTAGGAAACTGCATTAATGTTGTAGCTACATAACCTATGTAGTCCTGACATTGGTCAAATGTTCTCCAGATATATTCTCAATCTGCTCATGTATGCCACTGCCAGGTATTTCTTATTGCAGTGTTACAGCTAGTCATTTACTATAGTTATAGTAACCTGATTGTGATACATGCCAGAGGTTTGTCTTTTTAAATCTCTATGTCCTGCATTGATTGGTGGAATCTATTCAAGATAAATAATGCACAGTCCAGGGTTGTCAAACTCTGCTTCTCACAGACTACAACTCCCATAGTTCTGCCTATTCCTTTTCTGGAATTTGAAGAATTGTAGTCCATCAGCATCTCAAAGGCTGGAGTTTACTATTCCTGCCATAGTATTTAAGTATCTCTACCTGTATAACACATGCCTCCTGTCTAGTCCAGTCAAAACAGGAGGCCATTCAGATTCTGTGAAAGCTATAGCAGTCTCTGTAGTAGACTCTGTCATGGTTCGACGAAGACTGAAATGTTAATTTTATTTTTGGTTGTATGGCGACATTGATTGAAGTACAGCCATGCTGGGCCTTCCCTCTCATGAATACTGCTTTGTAATTATTACTGAGTAACTCAGACAGCATCTCAGCCAAAGTGGATATATGGCTACAGGGGTTGAATGCCATGAGTCCCCAAACTGCCTATATTATTTTTTTTGGCCAGTGTAGCACAATGAATGTGGAAGCTCCTTCTTTTATTGGTTGAATACTTTATATTGTAGTCTGCAACATTCTAACTACTTTGCAATATTAAAATTCAGTTTAAAATAAAGACAAAAAATAAAACACTATACAAAACTGAAAATGAGAGCATAAATTTATTAAATAAAGTTTGTTGTAGTAAACTTCATATTTGATGCCATTTCCAGGTGCTCTAGATCCACGCTGTAAAATCTGCATCTTTATGGGAAAGTCCAATCCAGATGCTCCTCGCCATAAGCAGCAGACCATGATTCTGGTTCCGATGGACACTCCTGGGATAACTGTTGTAAGGCCGCTCACTGTTTATGGACTTGATGATGCTCCTGGTGAGTACACATAAATTACCTCCTTTCTTGTAGTAATTTGTTGCATATGGAGTTAAATGGATGATGTATTAAGAAGGGAAATATATAATCAAAGAAGTGTTATCATTTAAAGAAATAATGATAGGCAAAGCAGTGTGCAGAATTCTGTGTGTATATGCTGGAACACCAATCAGTGCTGGCAGACAGACATATGGTCCGCACACAGATTTTAAGGACTAAATAATACATGGATTTCCGCTTCATAACCATGGACAAAAAACTCACTAAATCATTGTGAAAACTCATGCATGTTTCTAGTGGTGTCATGTGGCTGTGACAGATGAAAGATATATACTATTTAATTACTTACAATAAAACACAATACAGATTTAGCCCAACAGAGAATCCACCTACATTTGTGGGAGCACTATCATTCCTTAGGTTTAATAACCTTCAGTGGTGTATGCAGGCCCAGATAGAGGACTTGTGGTGGTAATGCTATCCCAAGCATTAGAATATTCCACAGAGTTAAGATTAGTCCCAAAACAACTTTACTCTACATAACAGGAACAAGAGGGCTGGGTTACTGTTCGATTATGTTGCTCAGTTTTTAGTACAATAGCTGTAGTTTTCCCCCTTACCAACAGACAGCAAACAGAACTTATTGCAGTTGAAAAATATTGAGAATTAGTGGATTGGTCACAGGATTAAGGTACACTGTATAAGGATGGAGTTCCTAATAGGAGCATGGAATCCATTCTACACGGTTCTGAAAGCCATCTGCCAGAAGAATAGGAATGGATAGCCACATGTTCTAGGGGTTAGACATTATATGCCTTGTAATGAACTTTTTATGATGTAGATTTTATTTCTGACGCACAGCTGGACATGGAGAATTGCGTTTTGACAATGTGCGTGTTCCTAAGGAAAACATATTGTTGGGCAGCGGCCGAGGATTTGAAATTGCACAGGGCAGACTTGGTCCTGGGAGGATCCATCACTGCATGAGGCTCATTGGACATGCTGAGAGATCTCTAAGCCTCATGAAGCAGAGGGTGAGAAGAAATCCGATTCCCACAAGCTCTCTTTCCTTAATGGGGGAGTGCAACTTCTCATGCTCTTTAATATTATGTTACTTATCCTCTATTTATTTGTCTGAAAGATAAAACTGAATGTAGAAATCCACACAGCTATATCAAGCTCAGTCCTGTAACTAAGCACTTAAATCTTGGCTCCCTATTAGTCATTGTTTTAAGGTCTTCCCTTTGCTGTTGTCAGTCAGTACACAGAGAGAAGGAGAAATTTAAACTGTGTGTGTCTCAGCATGTGTATGATTGTGTCTGGGACCATATGTGTGTGGGGGAGCTGCTTGTGGTGGTGATAAGTATAAAAGGTTTTGGGGTGTTAATGTGACCGGAAGAGCGTGACATGGTTGGAGGAGGGCAAGGGGAGGTCACTATGACAGAATTAGGGGTGTTAATGTGATATGGTGGGTGTGGCATGGTTGATGTGTGACTGTCACAGGGTCGGGGGTGAGTGTGGCATGGTTGGAGGAGGGAGTGTGACAGGATTAAGGGGGGTTAAAGTGACAGGGTGAGTATGACAGAGCAAAGGTTGGGGGGGTTCAGTGGGACAGAATTAGAGGCGTTAATATAACAGGGTGAGTGTGGCATGGTTGGTGGGGTCAGTGTGGCATGGTTGGAGAAGGGAGTGTGACAGGGTGAAGGGGCTGAGTGCATGGGGAGGCTGTTTTTCAGTGACTAACCTCACCACACTGTAATACCTTTTTATTTTATGCATTTGGCCCCTTTTCTCAGCACAGAGGGGGCATTAGTTGATTCCCTGGTGATCCAGTGGTCTTCCTGGTGATCCAATTGTCTGTCCGGTCTGCAGTTCCGGCGGGTGCAGAGTTGCAGACGACGTGGTAGTTCTCTCTCTAGCTCTGGCACTTGAAGTGTCAGAGTGTCGCCTTGGTAACCCACGCCAGTGCTCTGATTGGCCGGAACTCGCAAAACAAATACATCATGGTTTGTAACTCTGCACCCAGAGACTGCTGGGCTTTGTCTCCCTCCCTGGGCAGACAGTTGAGGCGCCTCACACCCGGCAGCACGCAAAGAAAGCTGTCTGGCCCCCTCCCAGTTTCGTGCCCTCGTTACGGACCAAGGGCCTGATGGTCAGTCTGCCCTAAGATCTGACATCATATTGTCCCCTATTCCCAACACAGTGGGACCAAGTAATGAAACAGGGGACTTAGGGTTCTCCTGTGCCAGACTCATTGTCAGCAGGTGTGGCATATAACTATAATAACCTGAGTAAATAATGGGCAGAGGTTATTAAATTAATTGTAACATGAGAAGATGATCTAATGTTCACACCCAGCCCCCACCCATTGGTGACGGTTGGGGGCTATTGGAGGGGACCTAATGCCTTCATTCATAGGCAGTGTATGCTATTCATTTAATGTAGAGAGGGGGACATGCCATTGTTTAAATCTCCCAATGCCAAGTTTAGATCCTCGCCCAGGTGGCTAGGGGTACCAGGCCTCCTAGTGTGCCTGTGTTAGGTCCTTCCTGTATGCTATTAGCGTTTGGACCCCAGTTGCTAGAATGTTATGACCGCAAGCAGCCACTGGCATGGCATGTGGGGTATAATGGAGGTAATGCTCCTCCCTTCTACCAATGTGGTACAGTATGTGTGCAATATGAGTCATATTGACCCCCATATGCTTTTATTTAATTTCTTTTATAATAACTAACAGGTTTAGTCAGTACAAAAGAATGATAAACATGCTTCTAAAGCACATTTATGACTGAGTTTTTCTCAAGAATCTAATTCAAAAGAGGGAGTCAGTAGCTCCCTCCTTGTACAGGATAAATATATAACAAATGGACGACTTTCTGTCTAACAAGCAATTCCTGTTTCATTAATTTCATCAGATATGCAATTTGTTCATCTGTCATTCGTATTAATGAACGAATTGACGAAATTTGGATGAACACAAATTTGTCGGAAAACGAATGCACATGCCTAAATAGGAACACTTTTGCAAATTTCAACTTGATATGTCACATATCTCCCACAAGAGGTCACTGTTTTGCATATTTATCAGCTGATGCTTCCAGGAACACTAACATTGAGGTTGAGGTGGAAAGGGAAACTATTAAAGGACCACTATAGTGCCAGGAAAACATACTCGTTTTCCTGGCACTATAGTGCCCTGAGGGTGCCCCAACCCTCAGGGTCCCCCTCCCGCCCGGCTTTGGAAAGGGGAAAGGGGTTAAAACTTACCTTTTTCCAGCGCTGGACGGAGAGCTCTCCTCCTCCGATCCTCCTCTTCTCCTCCCCGTCGGCTGAATGCGCACGCGCGGCAAGAGCTGCGCGCGCATTCAGTCGGTCACATAGGAAAGCATTCATAATGCTTTCCTATGGACACTGGCGTGCTCTCACTGTGATTTTCACAGTGAGAAGCACGCAAGCGCCTCTAGCGGGTGTCAATGAGACAGCCACTAGAGGAAATAGGGGAAGGCTTAACTTCTCTGAAACTGCTATGTTTATGAAAAAATGGGTTAACCCTAGCTGGACCTGGCACCCAGACCACTTCATTAAGCTGAAGTGGTCTGGGTGCCTAGAGTGGTCCTTTAATTGAACAGAAAATGACAAAGTGATTTATTTTGTAAAAAGGAACTTTTTCTAAATTGGAAACTGAGTTGCAAAATTCTGATGAAAATAGCCAAGCTGTAAAAGTTGAAAGCTAAACCAAAAAAAACCAAAACGTTGTTACACATTTAATGAAACAGACAACAATCAGCAACTGTCTAAAACACCATGAATCCTTTAAAATCCAATACTCTGTCAGTCCTATGCTGGAATTCTCTTTCTCTATATGATCTGCTTATTGCACAAAAATCATCACTTAACGTATTTTTATAGACTCAAATCTGGTCTGACCCAAAATGTAACATAGTATGCTGATTTTCTTTTTTTAAAATTCTTTATTTTTGCTCAATCTGCATGCATGCAAGAAATAAGTTAAGCAATTGATGACAAGTTGTGAGTAGAGTAGAGGTCAAAATTATTATATATCACAGGCAATAGACATGCAGAATGAGGATTTTGTATTTTATGAACAAGTGAGAACTAAATAATATCTAACTAGAAGGTTTTCCTGGGCTGGAGAAATAATAATGAGGGAGTTAATGCCCTTAGCAAGATGCACCCCCTTCAGTATACTAGTACCACACTAATACACACACATGTGTTGGCATAAGAGGGTAAGAGGGGGGCTAGTACAAGCTGTGGTATAGAAATTTTTTTAAACTAGGAGAAGTTTTTTTTAAACTAGGAGCAACAATCGTGGTGTCCAACTGTGGACCTCTGGGCAAGAGGTAGTGTCTGCAATGGAGGTTGTGAACATAGGGTGTACCTCTAGGTGAGCCGTTCAGGTCCCTGCCCGATTTGTGGCAGAAGCTCAGGCTGAGCGTGGTGTAAACTCCACAATCTTCGTGGTGTCCAGGAGGGATAGGTTTGGTGTAGTAGTTGCAGGTGGCAGGTGACCGAAGCAGCCCCAGCTTGTTTAAGAGTGTCTCTAGCTCCTCAAAGGTTTTCACCCTATGGGTAGTCCCTTGGTGGGTAAATGAAAGTAAACGTGGGGTCCCCCACCTTAATTGTATCCTTCCTGCGTGTAGGGATTGCAGGAGGGGTTTCAGTGTCCTGCGACATGAGAGTTTCTGGTGAGGTCTGGGAAGAATTGTAGAGTAGTACCCTCGAAGTGTATTGGCGTTTTATCCCTGACTGCCGCAAGAAGGAGAGCTTTATCCTGAAGTGACTGGAACCTGATGATAAAGTCAGAGGCTGCCGTGGTCGGCACGGTCGCCCGTTTCGGTATGCGGAACATGCCGTCCAACTTAACCAACTTGGCCTGCTTGCACCATTGCAAGTAGCCGTCGGATGAAATGTGGTAGTTTGGTCAGGCCCACTGCTTCAAGTATTCCTCTGAGTTTTACATTGAAGCATCTCCGCATATCCTCCATGGCCTCAACTCTTTCAGAGGTGTGGAGGTGTGGAGCTGTTGCTGTTGCAGAGCTTCCAGTTTCTTCTCCACTGAGGTAAGCCTGGTGTCCATGCTGGTGGTTTCCAGCTGGGTAAGTCTGGATTTCGCTTCCTCGAGCGCGGTCTGGAAGCTGGCAATGTCAGTGGTTATATTTGTCCCCTGGGGCCATCTGTACTGATCTCGGCACCATATCTGTCGAGGCCCCTGCGCCTGTGTCCGGGAAGAAGTCTTTGGAGGAGAAGGAGCTTCCCTCCTCTCCCAGCGCCTTATTGACCCATGCGGCCAATTGGGCTCCACGGAGCAGATCTCCAATGTCTCTGCTAGGGTCCCTTATCGGCTTTCGCCTTTTTAGTTTTGCGGCCCATAGTACCCTTGGAGTGTAGTTCTGGCCCAAATTTGACCAGATTCTGTTGAAAAATCGCTTGTTTTGGAGCTCTAAGAAGTTTGACTGCTTTCGACAATTCTCACTTGTTTGTTTTCCTGGCACTATAGTGCCCTGAGAGTGCCCCCACCCTCAGGGTCCCACTCCTGTGGCGCTGAAGTGGGAGGAAAGGGTTAATCCCTTACCTTTTTTCCAGTGCCGGGCTCCCTCGGCGCTGGGACTCTCCTCCCTCTTCTGATGTCATCGGCTGAATGCGTCTCGCCGCGCGCGCATTTAGCCAGTCTCATAGGAAAGCATTCTCAATTCTTTCCTATGGACGCTGGCGTCTTCTCACTGTGAAAATCACAGTGAAAAGTGCGGAAGCGCCTCTAGCGGCTATCAATGAGACAGCCACTAGAGGCTGGATTAACCCTAAAGTAAACATAGCAGTTTCTCTGAAACTGCTATGTTTACAGCAGGCAGGGTTATCCCTAGATGAACCAGACACCCAGACTACTTCATTAAGCTGAAGTGGTCTGGGTGCCTATAGTGGTCCTTTAATGAATCAGTATGCTGATTTTAACATCTAAAATAGACATGTGCAGTTCATTTCGGTCCAAATTTAAATTCGGCTGAATTTCAGCAATTCGGATATTCTGATGCTTCCGAATTGCCGAATTTCTGAAGTACCGAATAGAATTGCAGAAGTGCCGAATTTCGGAAGTGCAGAAGTACTTCAGATTTCTGAAAAGTGGCAAAACAGGAAAGGGAGGGGAAATTAGGGAATGATGACAAGAATCTAACCCTACCCCTAAACTAACCCCAACCCTACCCCTAACCCTAGTAGGGTTAGGGTTGGGGTTAGTTTAGGGGTAAGGGTTAGGGGGTAACGGGTAGGGTAACTGGTAGGGTTAGGGGGCAGGGGTTAGTTTAGGGGTAAGGGTTAGGGTTGGGGTTAGGTTAGGGGTAGAGTTGGGTTGGGGGTAAGAGTTAGGGGTAGGGAATTGGCAAAGTCCCGAATTTCGGAATTGCCAAAGTCCCGAATACCGAAGTGCCGACCCGAACCACATTTTTTGCCCATGCACGTCCTTAATCTAAAACACATGCGAGAGAGAGAGTGTGTGTGTTTTTTTTTATTTTTTCAAGAATGCTTAAAATTGCTAGAAATCAGGAATCCATTGTTTGCTTCAGCAAACTCGTATAGAAAAATGTATTGCTTTTAGCTGCAAGTTGTCAAATAGAAATGAAAGAAAACCCAGAGAGACAACCATTTGTCTTCTCCATTGTTATTGTGGTTAGTGTTTTTTCTTTTTAGAGGATATATCAAGGTTAAGAGGTCTAAAATGCAATACACTATCAGTACACCCTCGTCATGTACATTTTTAAAAAAATGTTTCATATGCTATGTTATTTATAGAAATAATGTGCCCTGTATATCTTCCTTTTATAAATTGTCTGTTTCAAGTTAAAGTTTAATATTTGGCTGCCTACTTTTTGTTTTGTTTTTGACAATCTTTATTTTGAGTTTTAGAAAGGTAGTACACAAGAAGTAGGGTAGCAAATTGAATATGCTTTTCGACAACATGTTCTGCATTCAATGAGATCACACATTAGGGTCATAGTTAGCATTTGCAGGTAGTATGTAAATGTACAGTGTGGGCATGAATGCGAGGTTATGTCGCCCCTGTCTAGATGCATGCGTACCCTAGTGTTCCCTTCAGCTGCTCATACTGCTGCTAGTGTGACCTTGCGTGTAGGTATCATTTAACGTTTGTGGGTTTACAACCATGGTAGTGGTTCTGCGTACAGGGGAGGTAGTTGCACCCATGGCTAGCTGTGTGCGTTCTCAATGGCTTACACCTACTGCCTGCGTAACTTGCTATGTGGACAGCAGTGGAGATTGCATGTATTGTTCGGGTGTGCTGTGCATTATGACCATTTTGGCCACCCATGGAGGTTGTGACTCAGATGTCACCCATGGCCACAGTCCCTCTGTCCCGCATGTTATGTGTGTCATATGTGAGTAACACTATGTCAGTTGTCCATTTTCAAAGTTAGCCTGAGCATCGTTTTGGGCGGCTGCTTAGTTACTGTTCAGAGAGAGAGAGAGAGTGGGGAGGGAGAAATGGGAAAAAGAGGTAAGAAGAAGAGAGAAAAGAAGCAGAGAAATAAAAGAAGGGGAAAAGGGGGGAGAGTGGTGGGGGAGATGAAGGGGAATCCAAGTTAGTGTTGCCTGGTGCCATAAGCATCCCTACGCCGCCTCTCCCCCAACTTAAGGGTAGAAGCAGCTATGTCCTGTCTCTCAGTTGTACTTCTCTTCATTATCTTATTGTCATCTGATCATCATCATTTGTTGTTGAAGCATTTCTTCAAATGGATTTATTTACAGCCACGTGTTCCATTTTAGGTTTCGTCGGTACATGGATTTGCTCTGTTAAAGTGTTAGTTGGGTGTTAGTAAAAGTGAATTTACTCTTTGTTTTAGTAATATTTGCATATCTGTGCATTGCCTTGCTGTATGTTTTAGTGATATGAGTCGATTTGATATTGACTAGTTACTTATAAAAATTAGAAATCCCATCTTATCTCAGTACTGTATATTTATTGTTATGTGTTTGTGCAATATTCTAATGATGTGTGGGTGGGAAAGTCAGCATACTATTGACAAATCATAATCTCCTTTGGAAATCTTCCATTTTACAGGTAAAATCAAGAATAGCCTTTGGCAAGCCACTGGCAGAACAAGGAACTATTTTAGCAGACATTGCCAAATCCAGAGCAGAAATTGAACAAGCCAGGTTACTGGTTTTAAAAGCCGCCCATCTGATGGATACAGTGGGAAATAAGGTGAATAGTTATGAGTGCGAGTATGCATTTTTACTAATGTTTTGTTTTTTTGCAGCCAAATCAGTGTGTTAAACATTTCACACAGAAACTCCTACTGTGTTTCTCGAGATCTCCTCAGCCTCCATACCTTCTATAATTGACATATCGTCTTGTACATCCCCTGGCTACAAAAGGCACAGTTATCCCGTTGAGATGTGGGGGGAGGGGGTAGTTTTCTTGCTACTTCATACTTCATACTTGCTACCATAACTCCAATGAACTTTACTTACATATTTGGAGGTCTGCCTCTAACCTTTTTTTCAGAATTATTATAAACACATCTCTCATTGGTAAATGTACTTTATTAAATGACACTCTATGTTTACCCAAACCTCATCCACATATCTTAGAGGTGTTCAGATGTAGCAAAGGTCGTTACTACTGATCTTTTAAGCTTCTTAGACCCAATGTTAGATTACTATGTCAAATCTGTGCAGCTACAAAACTCTTTACAGAAGGGATTTAAAAAGTAGGCCCCCACCTTGTTAAAACTAGAATATGGAAGATACTGGCAATTGAGCACTTCACTGCCACACATAAACATACACATCTTTCTCAGAGTATGGACTCTTTCCCTGTTCCAGCAAGATTCACCTAATGCGTAATTCTCTAATGTATTGTCTTTTTTTTCTCTCTTTTTTTTTCTTCCTCCTTTTCACACCTCCCTTTCCTCTTATCCTATTTTTATTTATTTACTACCCACACCACAACCACATTCCTCACTCCCTCATTATTGTATTTGTTTTACACTATTTTCATGATGGACACTTTTTATATTGTGTATTTGTATTGTATTAAAAAAAATAGAATTGATCTCTTGAAGTGTTGCATTAATCAAATCATGCATTTAAATAGATCTGCCTTGTCTTATTGTGTAGACTTTTGAATAGTTTAATTGCACAGCTATGCAAGATAAGCACATATGCATCTCTTCACCAAATTAAATATATGATGGTTTGATGCCTTTATTTTAATTTTATTTTTTTTGCAGGAAGCTACTTTAGAAATTGCCATGATTAAAATGGTTGCCCCAACCATGGCCCAGCAAGTAGTGGATCGAGCTATTCAGGTAAGTACTGTATGTGGAAGAGTGATCATGGAATTACATGGCAAAAAATGAATTAGAGGAACACTCTGGGCGCCATAACAAGAGAATGTAGTTGTTATGGTGCCAAGAGGTCCCTGACGCTTGTTTGTCTTCAGGGGTTAAACTATCAACAAACGGTTTAACCACAAAGTCTTCATTCCAGCACCAGTCAGCTCTGCCCTGAACATGCAGTACAGTTTTTGTCAAACTCCACTCAGCCACTGTTTTCAAATACTTGCATAGAATTCTTACAAACATTCCTATTTATTTTTCAGTCATTTGGAGCTGCAGGTCTCAGCAATGACTTCCCACTGGCTCAGTTTCATGCCTGGACACGGGCCCTTCGCCTTGCAGACGGACCAGATGAAGTTCACAGAGCAGTCGTAGCCAAAATTGAACTGAAACACTAGGGTTTTTATCTTTCTTTAGGAAACTGATGTTTATGCAACATATCTTAAATAATCTTCTCAAATATGAGAAGAGTGAAAATGAAATTCTGAAAATCAATCATGGCACACACAAATATCACTTTCTTGAATATTAATTGCTTACAAAAAAATATATATGGGTGTGGACACTTGCTTGGTCACCTGAAGCATGAATATGCATTATAATACCTTATGTAGACTGCGTACAGCTTAGGTTTTCATGGATTTTCCCATTCGCTTATCTGGACTTTCCTGCGCAGGTGAATTAGACTATGGATCATGGTTACAGTTCTAATGTTGGTGAGTCCAGAGACCTAATAATGAAAACCTATGAAACAGAAGAATTTTGTCAGGAAGTTGTTCTGAATGTGCATGTGACTTTTGTGTATGACAAAAAATAAAACTACCGGTAAATGCAATTTGGGCATCTATAAATAAATAATTTTTTATTAAAAAATAAATTCATTTCATTTAGCTCTTTTTCAAAACCACATGACAGATTAGTTTTATTTGCCTGCATTACTTTTCCAGTTTATTTCTGTTGTAAGTGTGTCAGGATTATTCACTAACGTGACAATCGTCCGGAATTTCAAATTTAAGGCCAAAGTAGCTGAGCTAGAAGCATGCCTTAGATAGAGAACTTTTTTAGGCTTTTTAACTTTTATTTTGGTTATTTTTACCTAAAATTTGTAATTCACTGACAATTGTTAATTTTGTGAACAATCCTGTAAATATTTGTCAGCTAATGCCACTAGGTTTGTGTGGGTGGTTGTTCTGGAGTAACGTAGACATTACTTACTACTAATTAGTTCTGTGGTGCTGCTCTGTTGCAAATTACAAACTCCCAGTCCCAAAATCAAAGATGGACATTCCTTGAACATCCATCACATGACTACCTCTCTCTCCTCCTTACCAGAAAACATTCTTATTAAACTAGACCTACCAAAGCAGCATACCCATGTCCAGGGCCGGATTAACATAGGGGCTGATGGAGCTGCAGCTCCAAGCCCAGGCCCATGGAATAGGCCCGTTGATTTAAAAAAATATATTTTTTTTTATTTTTATTTTTTAACACACTACTCTTAGGGTTACCATGTATTTCTCATGTATTTCTTATCTTTGCCAGGTATTTCTCAGAAGAATTTCTCAGGTATTTGAGGCTGCCTATCCGGTGCCGGTATTGCAGTAATACCGGCAATACAAATGTCCTTATTCTGCAATACCAGCGCCGGCAAGTAGGGGTCGCTGTTTGTGTGGAGAGAGGCAGGGATAAGGAGTTTTACAGCATCTACCTCCCTGCCTCTCACTACTCACTGATCCACGGGGGAGCTGCTCTGCACAGAGTCCAGACAGCAGCTCCATCCTGCGAGACTTGGGGACGGTGAGAGACTTGGGGACACTGAGACATTGGGACACTGGGTGACATGGGGACACTGGGGGACACAGGGAGATATGGGGACACTCGGCAACTTTGAGACCTGGGAGACATGGGGCCCTCCCAGTGGAGTAGACTACATTAAAAACACACACACGATTACATTGGCTCTCAGGTCTAGGACACTCCCACATCAAACAAAATAATCCCTCCCAGCTGTCTCCTCTCCTGCAATCTCTGCCCTCAGTTCGGCCATCCGACGCTTGTGTTCCCTCCTGTGTTGCAAATCAGCGCTCACTAGGGCTTTGAGAAATCAGATAATCTCCACCGACACATCCGGGCCAAAAAAGGACAATTGCATACGCATTATATGACAGAATTCCTCATCCTCGTATGGGGAGGCTGCCCTAGGGCTAGCTCATTCTATCTTGCTCCTCTGCAACCAGGGGTGCTGCACGAATGCTGGCGTTGCCCTCAATTATAAATCCAACTAAACCGGTCTCTCCAGGATTCTTCTATACTCACTAGGAAGCCATCCAGCAGCTGCCACCAATGTAACGGAACTCCTGGCACCCTGACCGAGTGCCTCCGCCAATCGCTGCTTCCTAGTAATCCTTGAGTACCATAAGCACTGCACCAGACACCATAACCTCTGTAAACCCCACAAACTCCATTGGGGAGTGACCTTGCATGGGGACCTGCATATAAGGCCAGTTGTGGCTGCCATTAAACATAACACTTTACCCCTTCATGAAGTCTTGGCTCATGTTTGGGGGATTGGAGAGCTATATTCACTCTGGGGATTGCTATAATCACTATACTTTCTTGGATTACAACACTTGCTCTTGGAAGAGCAGCCTGCTTTGCTCTCTGGACTAGGAGAGGTCTACCCACTGGAAGCTGGATCCTGGTCTTGGTTCCAGGGTGGGTGGAGGACAGTGAGACCCCAACCAAGCTGCTGCAGTTTGTGGGGTTTACAGAGGTTATGGTGTCTGGTGCAGTGCTTATGGTACTTAAGGATTACTAGGAAGCAGCGATTGGCGGAGGCACTCGGTCGGGATGCCAGGCAGTTCATTACACCCAGAAACACAAATTAAAATTTTGTAATTAGGCCTGTTACAGGAGGAATAACAGGAACAAACCGCAGAAGCCACACATAGAGATATGGACACAAGTCTTCAGGAAGTAACAGGTCTTTTATTTACACACCGATCGGGTCTCAGCTGAACTAGCATTCTAAAAATGTCTGAGAGACAGAAAGCATGGTGCAGAGGCTTTTTGTTAGCAACAATACTCCTCCCATATCTAGCTCCACCCACACATACCCTTAACCCAATCAGTGAACAGAATATTCAGGATCACCTTATATGGGCAGACCACATGGTTCATCTAGATGGCGAACCTTTTTGAGCCCGAGTGCCCAAACCGTAATACATGCCAATTTTTTTCCCCTCATAGTGCCAAAACGGCAATTAAACCTGAATACTGAGGTTTCAGTTTAGAAAAAACAACTCATACAGTTGTCCGAACTAATTAACATCTATGTGTGTGTGTATTTAGCAGTCTGTCTGTGTGTACTTAGCAGTCTGTCTGTGTACTTAGCAGTCTGTCTGTATTTAGCAGACTGCTGAATACACACACAGACTGCTGAGTACACAGTCTGCTGAATACACACACAGACTGCCGAGTACACACACACAGACTGCTAAATACACACACATACTGCTGAGTACACACAAACACACAGACTGCTGAGTGTACACACACACACAGACTACTGAGTGTACACACACACACAGACTGACCGCTGAGTGTACACACACAGACTGACTGCTGAGTGTACACACACTGCATTGAGGGGTACATTGTATGTGTTTGTGTGTGTGGGGTGATGTGTTTGTGTGTGTGTGTGTGGGTGGGGTGATGGGTGATGTGTGTGTGTCTTTGTGTGGGGTGATATGTGTAGGGCAGGGGTGCTGTGTGTATGTCGTCCCCCCTGTCCCACACTCAGTTTTCTCCCCCCATACCTCCCTCAGTTTCCCCCCAATATCTCTCCCTCAGTTTCCCCCCATAACTCTCCCCCTCAGTTTCCCCCCCATCTCTCCCTCAGTTTCCCCCATATCTCTCTCTCACTCAGTTTCCCCCCATTTCTCACCCACTCAGTTCCCCCATCTCTCTCCCTCAGTTCCCCATATCTCTCCCCTCGGTTTCCCCCCCATATCTCTCCCTCGGGTTCCCCATATCTCTCCCTCGGTTCCCCCATATCTCTCCTGGTTCCCCATCTCTTTCCCCTCCAGTTTCCCCCCATATCTCTCCACTCCGGTTTCCCCCATATCTCCTGGTTTCCCCCATATCTCACTAGGTTTCCCCCCATATCTCTGCCACTCGGTTTCCCCCATATCTCTCCTCAGTTTCCCCCGTCTTCTCCTCAGTTTCTCCCCAATATCTCTCCGCCTCGGTTTCCCCAATATCTCTTCCTCAGTTTCCCCCATGGTCTCCCCTCGGAACCACCCATCTCTCCTCGGTTTCCCTTATCTCTCCCTCAGTTTCCATTGTTCTCTCCCACTCAGTTCCCCCCCCATATCTCTCCCACTCAGTTCCCCCCCCATATCTCTCCCTCAGTTTCCCCCCATCTCTCTCCCACTCAGTTTCCCCCCCATCTCTCTCCCACTCAGTTTCCCCCCCATCTCTCTCCCTCAGTTCCGCCCCCATCTCTCTCCCTCAGTTCCTCCCATCTCTCTCCCACTCA